AATATCTTATACTCGTTCGACGTTGAATAGTTGTAATTATGCGAGGTCCCAAAACCTTTTGGCGGCCTCCTATCCGGCCAGAAGGTGCCCTAGCTTCGTGCATTGGATCTTTGAGGTTCCCTCCTGACCTCCTCAGTTTCTCCACCTGTTCGGGAAAGCCAATCGCCCAAAAACGGTTCGATGTGAAAAAGATGTGAACACTATGGATCCACTTTTCCTAGCTATATAGGTGAGAAAACCACTTTCCTCCCCGGTCCTGGTCAACGGGGCTTCGCTCGCCTGGAGGCGCTGCTTGCTCTGCCGTTCGCCGCTCAGCTGCTCTTGAAGCTCTGAGAGCTGCTTCTGGGCCTGGCGAGCTGCACGAGATCCCGAAGTTCTACTCCGGGTTTAAACATGGTAACATGGTACAGAAGCGATGGCCTCCACTCTCATCGCGATGGCCTCCAATATGGAAACCGGAGTATCGGCAAAGAGGATCCCTTCAGGATGTGTGGTGAATGAAGAATTACATGCGGCCAAGGGCAGTTGAAAAGCGAAAAGTAAATGTAGCCTCAAACGACAAATGCAACAACAAATGGCATACCGGCATACCTCTCGCAATCACGAAACTAGCGGTGAAAAAAGGAACTAAGAAAAAACAGCAGGTAATTAAAACTTAATGGTTTTGGAGGAGGCCCTCACTCTTCAAACACACGGGCCTGAGGGCCAAGAAACACGTACAATCGTGTACTCATCTGTTCGGTGCCCAGCCACCAAGTCTTCGTTTTTCCCAACCAAAAAGGAAAAAGGAGATTTTCCCAACCGAACCCTCGTCGTTTGTACCATGTTTCCCCATCCTTCCACCGCCCAATGGCCCACCTCAGTGGCACTTTGTCTCACTGCGACCAACTGTTTTTCAAAATCCTCTGCAGCCCTCACAGCCGCCTGTGAAAGTCGGAGTGCGGGGATTGGGCCTTGAGTTCCAAGCATGAATCCCAGGTTTGATGTGTTTTTCTTTACATGTTTGATTACCATCAAAGTACACAATGGTGGGTCATCATCCGTCTCCCCTGGTGTGCTGATAGAACAACATATTGTTCGGCGACTATCTCCCTGGCTCTAGCTAAGGCACAGCGCAGTAGGATCCCAACATGCAGAACAAAATAACATAGAGTTACAAATATAGGGGTTGGTTTGCTCACACTACAATTGGGTTCGGGTCGGGTTCGGGTGTAGAAACCATTCACTGCTGACGCTTCTTTCGTGAAAACCCAGCTGGGCACTGCCAAACCTGCTGACGCTTCTCCCGCCCAAAAGGACGGTCGACGAGGGTTCTCCGCCTCTCGAGCTTCCAAGGCCATCTCGTCTAAGCCAGCCACCAGTGGCCTTGGCGAAGCAGAAACGGCAGAAGTTCCCCGGTCCGACGATGCGGCGGTCGCCCGTTGACCCAGCAAAGGACCCACAGCACATCGCCATCTGGGCTCCTCCGACACTTCAACGCTGGCACTGCTTGGTCCGCCTGACAACAGTTGTGCACCTTTTCTGCCCGGGATTTACTTGCGTCATCAGTCGCTGACAGCCCTGGAAACTCCAAATTGTCAACCCGGTGACGGTGAGTCGGCGACAACGACGCACGCCCACGCATCCCCCGACCCCCCTCAAGTGGATGAAGACCTCCCTTCTGACCAAGCAGGATGAACGATAGAACAAGAGATAGGTAGATAGATAGAGAGATAGATGTATATAGGTCAATCCAACTTATGGATATATTAGTGAGTTTAGTGGAAATGTTTGCCAAATGTCAGGCTTTGAGAGGTTGCTTGGATAAGCCACTTCTTCCACTGTTCAAGTGTCAAGCTCTGGAGTTTCTTTAGGTTAAGCCACTCTCTCCAAGTTCTGGTTTATATAGAAGTCAAACTCTGAAGTTTCCCGTCTCTCGATACTTGGTTCTGGGTATCATTGATACTTGGATACTGGTATCGGGGTATCATTGATACTTGGTTCTGGGTATCATTGATACTTGGATGTTTGTTTCATTGATACTAGGTTGTGGGTATCGTTGATAGTTAGATACTGGTATCTGGGTATCATTGATACTAGGGTTGGGTATCTGCGGTTATGCATGCAATGTGTGAAGATTGCTCTTGGATGACTCACCCACAAAACATCTCAAGCGCCACAGTTCTTTTCACTGGCGAAGCTCACATGTATCCTGCATCCCTCAACTTCTGCTCATCCTCTTGAAAGAGCTTGGCGACGAAATGCCAATGCTTCAAAGCCACACTTAAGTGGTTGTCCTCCTCAGGACGCAGTCCGCGGGCTCCTCACGAAGAAGCTTCAACTTCATGTTGGTCCCCTCCCTCTGCGGGAGATACCCCATGGGTCCTGCCTCTGCCACCTTGAGGAGATAGTCCTTCACTTCCTCTTCGTCCAGTTTCTTCTCAATTGGTTTCACTCTCTCCTCGTACCACTTCTCAACCTGCTTGATGACCGCATCCGCACCATTCTTACCTTCTCTGGAGACGTTTCGCAGTATCAAGTCCAAGGCGCGGAAGTTGCCCCCTGCGCGGATGTAGTAGTGCTTTAACACCTCCTCTATCTCATCGTCGGCAAGAACCTTGTTCAGCGTCCGGAAGTTGTTTCCGTGCTGTGCCACCTCCTTGACCACAAATACGAAATCGTCGAAAGGCAGCGGTCGCACCACCACCAAATCTGACATGTCAAACCGATCTATGATGATGTCGGCCACAGCAGACACGCTGACCTCCAAGTTGAACTTGCAGATTTACTGCTTGCAATGCTTTGGGCAGCGCTTCATTGAGCTTCAAGTCCTCACCAGGACGGCTTGACATCTTGAGCGGCAGCACCCTTTTGCCATTCTTCACATGCTCACACATGAGATTGTTCAGCATGGTTGATTTCCCAATGCCTTGGGAACCACTGACCACCAAGAAGGAAGGGGTGCTCAAAGCTTCACGTTGAGGTAAGTTGATGAAATCCTTGATGTATTCCTCCTCGAGAGGCCGTGCAGGGGCGGGCTCTTGCCTTTCCAGCCTTTGCCCAGCCTTCCTCACTGCCCTGTTCATGAAGAAGCCAGGAAGGAACCTTTGAATAGCTTGGAGAACCAGCACTACAACGCTCCCTGTGCTCAACAAAGTCCAACCAGTTTTAATGGTCTGCGGTGGAAAAGCCCTTGCAGGCTGTGTTCGTGTGTGACCGCTTGGAAGGATGAACCGGCCTGGCGCAAGCTGAACCTGCCTCACAAAGATGCATCTGCAGAATGTCAAAGAAAAAGGACAATACATCGGTTCAGTCAATTTGTGCCAAACTGGCTTTGGATCGAAGGATGCTTGATATGCAAAACCAAACAGCGCCTAACCTCAATCAATACATGAATTTGAAGCAAATAATTCGACATCTTTGAAGAACAGCTTGGTAGAATTTGAACCTGAACCTACACATAGAAACTCTGACCACCTCAACAATTATCCCCTTCATTCAATCCAAACAATGAAGTGAAAGTTATTAAGTTATGACCCTAAAACACGCATAACAAGACTCCAGAAAAACGACAAATGCTCAACACAAATTTTCAAGAGCCAAGAAAATTCAACGAGGTGATTGATGAACAAGAACTCCCCAGAACCCCCATTTTACCTTTTTTTTTTTGGGGGGGGGGGTGTCCAAAGACTCTGTCAGGATTCTTTTTTGTTTTTTTGGTTTACTCACTAAAGAGTCTCTCAGGATTGTTTTTTCTTTTTTTTTTCAAGTCCTATGCATTTTTTCAGAGTCCAGCAGTTGAGATGTCCTTGGCAGTACTATGCAAGTGGAAGCCAGTTATTTCTTCTACCAGGACCACTCAGCCACAACACCATCTAAAACGCTTCTACCCATCTGGGACTGGGCTTCCTGCTGGACACTGGTCTTTGCCTTCGATGTCATTTTTAGGAGGGACTTACTGTATTTCAAAGCGGACACATCCAACAGCCCAGGACTCTCCGGTCTCCTCCAGCATCAGCCGCTGCCTGTGATGGGACTGCGAATGGACATTGGGGCTCTCGTAAAGCCACACTTGTGAAACCTACAAGTAGCGTTCTTGTTACTAGTAGCTTCTTGCTACTAGTAGTAAGGCCAGGAGCCCCTAGTAGCGTCCTTGCTCCTAGTAGCAGCGTTCTTGTCAAAGTAGGCCTTGGTCTTAGTCTTGTGCGACACCTTTTGCTGTCTTATTCAACAAACACCGGATAGCAATTCTTGCACATCGAATCCAAGCTCCTCTGTCTCCAACATTCTGCAAATCGAGATGTACCTTTGAGCCTTTTGCGTCACTTGAGAGTGAAGGGTCTGCCACAGAGCTCTCCAAAGCTTTGCAGCAATGGAGGGGATCAGCTTTTTCATGATCACTCAACAATCTGATGTTTGTTTGGTTGTTTGCTATATATACACTGTAGTACTGTGGATGGACAGTGCCAACATTTGACAATTTGACATGATGAATGCTGAGGAACACCATAAGTTATTCCTTTGTTATACATGGCATGTCTTTGCGTGTTACAAACTAGTGCCAGAGTCTATAGATGCATTTTGAGCAGCTGCCCCCCCTCCACAAGAATGAACACCGGATCAGCGCGGATGCTCACAATGCTTCCAGCCAAAACATCTACCAAACCAGGGGCGTGGCATATTCAACCACATCCACACCTTGCTGTTATAATATAGCCCATGAATTGTTAAAACAAGGAAAAACTGTTGCAGTCCAAACCCAGAGAAAAAAAAAGTGCCGGGATACCCTTGATGGTAACATTAAACAATTTGTGCCAATATGTGCCAATCACCTTGAACTGATGCCCTGAATTCCACTGAGATCCTCTGAATCCTTGTGAATAGAACATGCCACACATTCCACACAGCATTGTGGGCATCGCGCAGCTTCACGAAGCGATATACAGATTGTGCTATGCTCCCAGCGCTTGAATTCCGGGGCTGCACAACGAGGAAACAAACAATACTGTACATATAGAAATTCAAGAAAAATGTGAGCAACCTCTGGCCTTCTCAGCCACAGGGGTTTGTTTGCACAAAGGGCATGTCATCCTCTTGGTCAGTAGCCACTTTTTGACACATGCCTTGTGAAAAACATGACCACAGCTTAGCTGAACCACCTTGGAATCCTGCTGCATCTCATCCAAACAAATGGAGCATTGGCCTGCTGTCGCTCCATCCACCGCATGGAGCAACTCACCGACTGCAGCCAATTCTTTCTCTTTTCTGTCCCTCTTAGCTGCGATCGCAAAGTTTTGCTGTTGCGATAGAGTCATCACTGAAGAGAGGGTCATCCTGAACCGTGGAGTGGGAAGAGGTTGTCTGGAACCAGCGGAATGGGGGAAGAGCAAGTGGGCAGGAAAGAGAAACACTTGAAGTCTGAGATACCCTATGCTCCCTTATGGGTCACTAGGCTAACACTTTACACCTGGCAACACGCCAACTGCTTTGTTGAAGATACACCTGAATCAAACAAGCCAGCATATTATATGAACAGGATCTGGAAATGGATAGTGTCGTTGATGCAGCAAGCAGGAACCTTATTCGTTAGTTATATAGATGTCAACCAATTGGCATGGTCTTGCATTTGTGACTAGCTCTTTGTAGTTCTAGACGTTCTGCCTTGGTTCAAGCAAGTGTCTTTGTTGGTGTCGGTCTCTTATGGTGTTGCTGGCTGACAAAGTTGGAGCATCACGATGCCCACACACTGCAGCCGAGGGCTTGATTCGCGCATGAGCAGGGATACGTGAGATCTGCTATGGCAATGGCCACGGTCCACGGTCTATCCGGAAATTTAGAAGGGGGCAGTAGGAATGGGAGTACCACCAACAGGTACCATATAAACCTCTTCTTGGCCCCTGCCTCTCCCTACAAACCTTGTTGAACATTGAAAACTGCTGTGTTTATTTCTTGGAACATGTCCATTCGCTGTGGCGTACATGGTTGCCATCCTTTGTTTCAGTAGGCAGTTTACAGTGGTGTGCTGGTGATGTGGTTTGTTTTTTTTTTCAGCTTTTGACACTGACTACAACAGTACATTATCCCAAAAACTCATACAAGTTCTGCATAGAAAAGGGTTCCATTCCAGGACCGAGTGATCTTCTTCTCTCTGGGCAAATCCCCAACAAAAACAAACCCAAAGATCACTCAGCACAGTGTGTAAGTCGAAACAGTGTCGTGTGACTGTGTGACTTTATCATACATCAACCCACTCATACCAATACTTGGTCAATTCTGCTCGCACTGACAAGCTCAGGTTGGGTAAAACATTTGTCAATTTGTCGAATGCGTGGGGAGGTCGGGGGATTTCAAATTTGACACTTTCACAACTTCGTGTCAAAAATGGAACATGAAAAAGGGGACACCTGGGTCGAGAAATGTTCTCCAACAACACTCGGGTCAAGTCAGCCCCCTGAACGATCACCTCAGCTTCTGCCCACAGAACGCAAACAGCTCCTGTCTGCCTCGTTTCAGGCCTAAAAGACCAACCACTGGACAGGACTTGCTCCAAATGCTGGGGGGAAAGGAGCAAGGACGCTACTAGGAACAAGTGCATCGCTACTAGTAACAAGTGCCTTACTAGTAGTAACAAGAAGCTATTAGAAACAAGAAGCTACTAGGAACATAAAGCAACAAAAAGTGGGCACGGCGACTTCCCCCAAATCGGACCGAGAATCTCCACCAGAGTGGCCGTGCGAAACTGGTCAAAGATCTCTTCGCTGTCTTCCTTGCCGTTGACCTCCAAAATGGCCAGTGCCGGCTGTATCTGACACCTGGGTGCTGGGTGCTCCTGGTGCCATTTTGCCAAGGATGGTGAATCCTTACAGCACCGAACGGGAGGTGTTTCAATGTGTTTCACGCGACAATAGCAGCAAGCATCGACAACTGGTCAAGAATAGCTAATTTGCGAACGCTCTGTGACATCCCAAAATGAGTGCTCAGTTTTTAGCTTTTTTAACGTATCATTATTTTGCGAACGCTGATTTTAGAACGTGTGGCATCTCAAATTCAAGTTAACATTTCTCATCGTGAGTTGGGAGGCCAAGTGGTCGACAATGAGCTGATGAGCAGCCAAGGTGTTGTATCAGTGACCAAACAACAGGAAAAGCAGAGCGAGAAACACATGCAGCATATGATAAATATTGATGGATCATGAAATCCGTTGATCCGCAAGTTCTCCATTGATCCGCTGACCCGCCGGAACGGCGGATACCCGCAAGGATCGCTGCCGCAAGGACTGATTGAAAACTCCAAAAACAGCCGCAGAAATACACCTAATAGCGATGGCCTCCAACCCAAAAACAGCCGCAGAAAAACACAATCCTCTGGTTTGCAAATGAGGTACCTGCAGTTCCTGGATGAACAAACCATCCTCTGAAGTGCTGATCTTGAGGCCCCAGGACTCTTCTGTGGACCGACGCTGCAGCACCACCAAGCGGGATCTCTCCACCGGCTGCGAGAAATCACGGCAGCACAGTATGCGTGTCATGGCGGAAGGAAAATTAAAAAAGTTTGGGTTGTTTTGGCTGGGTGCACAAATCTTTGGAAATGCTTAGAAGTTTGGAACACCAGGAAGGATTTGTAACTGCGCTGCTCAGCTGCTTCCAGTGCTGCAAGCATGACGCCTGGATCCCAGGAAGTTGCGACAAACACTGAACACAACAGTTCTAAACTAGGAGCTAAATGCTGTGAGGCCAACTGCGGGCTGAATACATCCAAGAAAAAACACACAAAGCAGCATCTGGGTTTGTATTTAACGTTCCCGGGCCGGGATGTTTGACCATCGGGGTATGCGAGGTATGCTTCGGGGATGCTTCAGGGGTTTGCTCTGGGGTAGAGGGTATGCTTCGGGGTATTCTTCGCCTAAGTCGAACATCCCGGCCCTGCCCTACATAAAGTGGACACATAAAAAAACGACAGACCCTCACGACATTCTCAAAGAAAGTCCATGAATCTGGTCCTAAGAAGAACCACCAACTGTTCAACTGAAGTCTTTTGCCCCGAAGACTATTGGGCCTTCCACTTTGAATAGGTTTGTACCTTCTCATTGTCGTGCGTTTCAGGGCCGGATTCTTCTAGTAGTACGGAGACTCTGCTTTGCTTATGGTACTTTTCGACCACGCACGAGTAGCTCGAGTCACACAAGACCGGGCTCCAGCACCTCCAAGTCTTTTCGCTTGGTCCGCTCCTTGTCCCCTGAAGGCCGCGCGCGAATATGACAGGTACGTGACTTGCTTGTTGGGTTCAACAGACGCATCCAATCTCTCCAAAGGTTCAAGGAGATACAGCTGTCCGCAGCTGTCCGGTCGAAACATACAGCTGTCCGGTCATGGGTGAAGTCAAATCGGACTGGTAGATGAGATGAAAAAGAAAAACATCTCGTTGTCACCTCAAACTTACGAAGTGAGAAATGATGAGAAATGCATCTCACTGGTAGAGGATAATTGGGTTCACAGTTCACAATCCAGTTTATTGAACGGAAGGAATAATTGTTCAATGCATTGCCAGACTTGCAACTTGAGCCCACAAACAATGGTCTATCAAAGCAGGCAGACTACCTACAAAAAAAAACGATCCAAATTAGACCGAAACGACGAAACGACCAGCCAGCAACTTCACTTCAGCCATGTCGCTCTCTGCTTCCAAGTCCAGCACTCGCTTTCGTAGCTCCTGCAGCGGTGCACTTTCTCCCCAGATCCAATTGAGACACCTATCGCATCCTATCACTAATAACTGGGATGTCAGCCACTTATCAGGTGAAACACCTACCGGCCTCTATTCGATGATCTGCCTGCTATGTTTCTTTGAACATCTTTACCTACATAATTTAGTCCAATAGTTTTTTTTGTCTTCCACTGGAGCGTATGATAATTTCATTCTCAGCTCTGAGAGGCAGCCCAAAGTGCAGGACGCGTTGGGCGTTGCACTTCTTGTTGTTTAAGCCTTTAAGAGGTCAAGGCTATGTCATCATATGTGCTCAAGGCTCCTCCAAATGGCTGGCGTGCCTGGTTTCTTGCTCTGTCAACTGGGTATCCTTCCGGCGGCCGATGGAGTCGATGGCGTACCGAGCTTCCGCCGGGGCGTTCTCCTCCTCGCATTTCATGCAAGTCCCCTAAAGGCGTGCTGGACTGGTATCCAGGGTCATATGACCTTGATAAAGCATCAATAAGGCTAGAATAACATGGACCTGTGGCAGTGCAAGTAGAAAGGTGAGACACATGCCGGATTCCCAGCAACAACAAATGGCGGCTTTTGGCTTCAGCCCAGACTTGAGCACTCGATGGGCCATGAGAAGGATGGTTTCAGAGTTGTTCTTCAGAATTGTGTCATCAAACCAATGCTGGAAAGACATGGGCAAATTGTTTTCCAAGGGAGAGCTTGTTCATGTAGTGGCTAGAATCGCAACATTTGTTAAGTCAAATTGGGGCATAAGGTTACGGGGCTGGGTACAAATTAACAGAAGCAAAACGTAGATTCAGTCTGCAAGCTGCAAGAACCCAAACCGTTGAAAGTTGTATCTATATATTTACCTTTCCTCATATTGATCTACCTCTATTGTTTGGGAGATGCAAATGGTCCAATGGAGTGATCCAACTCTGAATCAATCTGATCCATGCAAGTCTTCAATCTTCCCATTTCTTCCCATGCTCCCCAAACCTGGCCACACCCCGCCACCGCAATCCGTTTCGTTTCCGCGCCAGCTGGTGGTTCTGCTCGCGCAGGACTTGAAGCTCTCTCTGCTCGCCTTCTTGGCTCCTCAGGACAAAGTGTCGATGTGTCAGAAGCCCTGAGACATGCCTCTGCCAAATGCGAACAGTAAATGGAACAAACAAACGATCTGGTCGGAGTTCCGAGTCCTGTTTCTTGAGAGAAACCGCAGGACAATCATTTTGCCTCTGAAAGGTTTGGACTTCTTCTCAGGATAGACTTGGAACGTACGTGGACGCCGTGGACGCTTCAAAACTGAGAAATGGCCTCATGGTCCCATGCCTGGCTGGGATGTGTCATCTTGCTTCCAGGCGAATGCAAAAGCAAACAAATTTGCCCCTCGTTCACAAAGTTCTATCGATGCACATGTTGCTTTCGTCCCTGCCCACCTTACTACCACCACGAACGGCTTCAAGCCGACAAGTAGAAAAACATAGAAAAGCATCAGTGAAAAAAGGGTACATGTCAGTCAATCATTGAAATTGAACTAAACCACCCGTATTTGCTTTGAAGACTTCGGCCACTAAATTCTGGACTTTTGCGTCCCATAACACTTCTGCGACGGCTACGCTAGCTTCGGAAAAAGGTACTGTTGTATTGCTTATCATTCCCACATGCTTGAGTTGGCTAACTGGCGTAATCCACCCAATGGCCACCCAAGGGGCTGCCACTGAGGTTACTGGACGCCTGGAAGAACAGCTAGTTCACGTCCGACCAAAAGACTGAGTACCCGGACGCTCCCTGCGCGATGGAGCGCCGCAACGAGAGGTTCTGGTCCACCAACTCCTAGAAAACATGACATCGCGGTGATGCTCGGATTTCGAACATGCGGTTTTGGTGCTTTTCTTCCGCGCACCTTCTTCCCAAGCAAATGATAACACAGCAGCACAGAACTAACCATAAGGGTACTGCAAGGTTCCAAGAAACCTTGTGGCTTTCAATTGGTGTACGTACAAGGACAATCAATGATGCAGCAGTCTACGAACAAAAAACACACTGATTTGTCGTCGTCGTCATCATCATCATCCTGGAACAACTGTTTCTTGATGTACTGTTCTGGCGGCTTTGGGTGGTTGGGGCTTTCTCCCAATCTCTCATTCTCTGCTATTTTGTGTTTTTTCTTTTCTCTCTCTCTCTCTCTCTCACCTCGCTCAACATGTCCCGGTTCCAGGTTTCTTTGCCCCGCAAGTACGGTGCATCTTCATCTGGTGGAGCTTCTCCATCAGTCATCCGTTGGAATCTGCTGGACAAATATTCCTCGAGTTTAGTCCATGCTCAGCTAAGCCAGCATCAGGTGCTGACAATTCAGCTTCAGTGACTGAACATCAGGTGTTGGGATGTGCTGAGGATTGGGAGACTCAGCAGGGCTGGGTGGGCCCTTTCAACGCTTGCGGCCGCTTGCGGTGTCCTGGATGGTGCGGAACGACCGCTTCTGCGCTTCGCAGCCCTGCGAAGAGCAAAATGGGAGATGAGAGGCGGTTTGGGGCGCCACTCGGAACTGGTCATGAAATACGCAAGTTCTCCAACGTAATGTATGTGGAGAAATGCCTTGGTCTTCAATATAGCCGGTATCAGAATTTGTTTGCCTTTGCAAGTCGGTCCTGTCTCGTCATCTCTACTTTCTGTAAACATTGTGGTAGCACTAGCATTTTGCAACAGCAAGGATGGTCGCGTTTTCAAACATCCTGGTCAAACTCAAAGCCATCATAGCCATCGAGCAAACATCGATTGACTGTAGCTTGTCCGACCCAGCCATGTTCCACCCGTCTGACTGTCAATTGATGTCAATTGGTTGGGGTTACTCATGCTGCTCAGGTTACCCATAACCAGTTCACAAAACCCCTTAATAGACCATCGACGAAAATAGAACCCTCGGCATCTTTCAAGCCCTTTAAAACGAGTCCCCTGCATATCAACTTGTTTGACAAACTTGTTTAACATGTTTAACTGCTTATATAACTTATTAGCAACCTTACGGAGCTTCGCAACCAACAGGGTCACCAACCTGCGAGCTCCGCCTGAGGGTCCGTGGCTTTCGCAGGGATCGCGCCAGTGAGCCTCCGCGATCAGCCAAGGGATCTCCCTAGTAGCGTTCTTGCTCCTAGTAGCGATGCCAAGAGCTCCTTTTAGCTTCTTGTTACTAGTAGTAGGGCCAGGGGGTGAACATCAAAATGGTTCTGGAAAGGATATGAGCAACCCAAGGTTGGTCTTTCTAGCATTCTGGTTGACCAAAAGAAAGGTTGACCTAGTTTGTAGTCTATACCATCCTTAGTAAAACAACGGTTGATTGGTTCAGCAGTGTTTCAAAGAGACACATAAGCCGTTACTGTATCCAACTGTTCGAGTCAAAACTCCTAGTGTCCTCAAACTCAACGTCCGTGCGCCGGTCGCGCCGACTGCGCCGACTCTGGTCCCGGTCCGCTCCGCGGTCCGCGGACCGGGTGTCCCGACATGCGATTCTCGTGCAGCAACACCGTCAGCTGGTCCGCCACCTCCCGGACCTCGGTCTCAGACCCGTAAAGCGACCGAGGTGAGACGGAGCGACCGGAGCGACCGACGCCGGAGCATCGGGTGGCAAGGTGTTTTCTGAGGCAACACTGGTCCATATTGGGGGGTACTGGTGGGATCTGGTGGGTATACAATAGACAAAATGCTCAGGAAATGCATATAGATGGGGGAGTTTGTAGCTACAGTTCCGTGCTGCCAGATCTCCCCACAGAGTCAAGGCTTGAACCCGAGCAACTGACCGTGTGTTGCTTTTCGATCTTTTCGTGTCTATCATTTTATTGGACTTATGACTTATGCACGTGCCAGCAAGTCAACAAGTGCAACAAACAACTTATATTATCTTATTATATCGTTTATAGATTCAGCCCGTGTCTTGCAATTCATAAGGCCCTGAAAAAAAGGAGAACTTAAACAACAAACAGTGGTTGGGGTCTAAATACCTTTCTGCCACCGCACCCATCCGCACCCCCGACTCATCCCGTTCTTCTGGAGCAGTACCAGGGTGCAGTCCATCTTTTTGGGCCCAAACATAGTTTTCCAAGATCTTCTGAGACTCAGCTGCCTTCTTGACACCAGCCTGGCGCACTCACAGGAAACTCTGGCAAGTGCACGGCACCTGTCTGTCAAGTGCTTCACCCCCAACTCCGCAGCTGACAATCCATCTCAACACACCAATCCAGGGAGCGACTCGGCCAATCTTTGCATGACCGAACAATCTGGAGTTCTAGCGGCCCAAATCATCCATTGCCCCAACAGACTACCATCACCTTTTTTGACTTCTTGGCAAGTTAGGCCTGCGAGGTCCTTGAGCCTGTCTTCAGGTAAAGCGCTCTCAGCACACTTGTATAGTTGACTATATAAGCCTTCTTGTTGCAGGTGGCTCGGCTAGCCTATGCTAGAGAGGTGGCAAGACCCGGTCACGACTTCAAGAAGTAGCCGCAGCCTTGCTCAAAGTGGTCTTGAGCGGCAAGACCCAGCAGGGGCTAGCCACCAGCAGTTCCCACAAGACGGCACAGAAGTTTCCAAGATACAAAGAATTCAACACCTGGTAAAACCCAACCCACAACCAAATTATCTTTCCAACCACCTGCCCAAAAGAAACTTGCAACACCACCCTGGCCCAACCGGTGACGTTCGCTCCATCGCCCCCGCTCCATCGCCCCGCCTCGGCCTCTTCGCTCCGGCGTTGAAGCTGCTGAGCCTCGGCACGGGCTGCTTGCCGTTGGATGAGCCACTCCCGGTTCGTTGGAAGGGCACAAACGCCCGGAGTGGCTTCGTTGGCGTGAAACATGCGCACGTATGCATGGTTGCTGCGCACGGATCTATGTAGGATGTATCCGCACATGTGCATAAGCAAAATCCTCCGGAAGGAGTCCTGCAAGATAGTGTTGGGGAGTGGCGGGATTTCTCAAACGGACTGGGTCTTTCTTACAGATTGCAACTGAACTACTTGAAACTGGGTCGTAACCCCGACATGCTCATCTTATGCCTTGGCTTTACCGCCTTGAAACTTCGTTGGTCCTTCGAGAAGCATCACGGTGCTGCTCTTGAACTCCAGCTGCCTGGCCACTAATTAGGCCAAATCGCACTTTTTGTGACATGATAAAGCATCTATAGTGTAAAATTAAAATGTATAATCTCAAATCAAACGGCGCTGAAGGTCCCCTCTGCTTCTCTGGGACTACGACGCGTTCCAGCAGTCCCTCGTTTTGCTGAGTCAGCTTCACCGTCAGAGTCTTCAGTCTCTGTGCTTCCTGACGCTGACCTTGGTGCTTCCCTTGCAGGGAAGCATTGCAAGTGCTTCCTATTGGGGGGGAATGATGCTTCCTATCCGAATCCTGATCCATCTGAATCTCGAACATGAAAAAACTCTCGATGGTCAATCTGAGAGGCTTTCGCTACAAGCATGCGCAAGCATGCGCAAGGGTATGCCTGGGTTGTCCTTCCACGCAGTAAGAGTCCACACTGAAGCAGATACAAGAATTTGCTCCGACCAACGTGATGATTTCTTGCTACGGAGTGGGGTTACCTGACTGCATAAAGTCCCAATCCCTTCACAATGCACCAGCCGGAAGTGTTCATCCCCAATTCTTCCCTATCTCTCTCAACTTCGCAGGGGCTCCGACTGATCAGCACAGGTTGGTGTTCCCGGAAGTCCTTTGCCACCTTATCCAAGGCCTCGCCAGTGCCCGGTGCCCGGTGTTCACGCGTCGCTTCGACGAGCCCGGCCACGGAACATCAGGGTTCAACTGAGAACTATGGGTCTAAAAATTCGGATTACACTATTTTCTTTGTTTGGACAACACATATTCCAATAAACATGGCCTCTTTATGCCTCTTTCATTTTACGCCGATTTAACATCTGTTGATTTGTTTGCTTTAGGTTGAGAGTTGAGGCAGTTGAGAGTCATGGGAATTCCGTCAACGACTTGATTGGATGGCTCCAAAAGCAATCATTGGATGCAGTCAAGGCCAAAAGGCGGAACGCTGCACAATTGCATGCTCATCCCAACCAAAAGAAAACTGCAGTGGGTTGTTTCCTAAAGGGGAATTTGCATGAATTTGGCGGATTGCTACGGCTTGGAATACTATTACCCTATTCCAAAGGTGAAACTTGCAAGCTGTGGATTGTGGACAGGTGTATTATTGGGGGAGGCCCTGTGGATGTTTGACCAGTTTGGATTTGTTAACCCTCCCTTGACGGCAGGAAACAAACAGCATATCTTCAGTCACCTGGATGATCCCGAGGGGATTAGAGTAAGTCACCAGCAAACCCGTCACCCCGCCAGTGGCCGATTTGCACCGTGGGTCTGCGCCTCTTGGTACTGCTCACGCAAATGTCGCTCCCTCACGGCCTAAACCGACAAAGAGCTCATGCACTGAATGGCAAGCACGACCAGGCACTGGAACCTCATTTGGCCCTTAAAAGTGTGCATTGACCCTACTGCGAAGTGAACTTTGTGTGAAGAAGGTTGCAAAACCAACGTGGAAAATCAACCAAACAACCATCATGAGACCTCAAAGAGCCTTATATAGCGATTCAAAAAACACTTGCATCTTCATCTATGTATAGGGGCGGCTTTTGAGGAATGCAAAAAAAGGGCAGTCTGATCCCATGCTACTTGGATTTGCTGAAAAGACCTTTCACGACAGAAACGCATGAGCGGTTTGTAGAGGCAATCACTTGAATGTGGCAACAAAACACAAACAAGTCCCGTATGATCCCCCAGTTATATATCTCAGCGTCAACCAATGTTATCCTGGAGTGCTTCATCTTGTTGCCAAAACGGTGAACATATTGCAATGTCTCCATACATGTACCAACATGAAACAAAGCATTTTCTCTTCTTGAAACGAACCAAGTTTACATTGGAGATCATCCTGCAACCACACCGCTTGGCAAGGAAAAACATGAGGCCAAACGACTTTAGCCCCAAACTTCTCTGGCTCAGAGATCCCCCTTCCAGATTCACAAGGTGTTTCCAACGTGATATGGACGATATTGAATATTTTTGCCCATGCCCAACGCTAAGCCACTATATAGCTCAGAATTCTTGGAACACTCTGATATATGTCTACCATGCGGGGTCTCCCCACATCGATCCACAGCATCGCGCATTCCGCGCATTCCGCGCATTCCGCGCTCCGCCTCCTCGCGACGACTGGTGGCTTCGTAAAGCAAGTCCGCCAGATTGGCCGAACCTCGCCGTGCCGGTGCCGAAGCCACGTTCACCCAACTCTGATGGTGACATGCGCAACCAGACTCTGGGTGTTCAGTTTTAGGCAACAAATTGATAACAATTGAAAACATTTGAAAACCACGCTGGTCGATAATTACAGTTATAGTTATGTCACTGCTTATTTCTGTCAACTTGTTTGCAAGTCTTCAAGCCCAAACTAAACACATATTGGCAAACCCCTTCCACCAACAACGGTTGCAAATCTGCCTCTTCATTGCACCCAACACTCCTTTGTAATTTGTAGGCCCTTTTCTTTTCCAAACCAAACCAACCAACGCCCGGTAGCCCCACCGCTTGGACGCCTGAGGAAAGGGCAGCCGCGCCCTCCGGACTGGGCCTCTCCGCGCTGCCCGCGCCCTCCGGACTCGGCGCGCTCGCCGCATGTGCTGCGCGCGCCGTGGCGTCCTGGACGCGTCGGTGTGCTGATTTGGCCTTGGACTTCAGGCAGAACCTTATCCTGAAAACAGACCCAAACATTAACAGCTTTGGCTGATTGTTGGGCGCAGGCACAATCCCTGATGAATATCAGAAACGCAACTGCATAGATGCCAACGCAACTTGTCACAGCGACCTCCAAACAGCAAGGAGACCCAATACGTGAGGACGACCAGGGCCATCCGCTTGAAGAAGAACCATGCCAGGGGCTAGACTACCCCACACTAATTACTACTAGTTACATGATATTACGTGTGGACTTCCATTCAACACCACAATTGGACATCCTTTGATGGGAGATCATTTTGTCGAAATCATGTGAAAGAATGGGTCAAGGGATGTCCGCCTGGCCGTCAAATCCCCCCAACCAGCTGTTCGATTATTGGGAGACAACAAACAAGTTGCCAAATTGTCAACTCCACCCAATCGACATCTTGGAAAACCGAACGGGTACAATCTGTGCCTTATCAGTGCCCTGGTAGGAAAAGGCCGTCCTCTAGGTCTTTCTGGAGCTTTATCCTTTCCTCTTCCAGCTGATGTACCTTTTGAAGTGCCTCTTCTTGAGCCTTCTCGCTTGCACTCAACTTCGCCTGGCCGGTCTTCATGAAGGCGAAGCCACAGGACAAACATTTCCATATGGACAGATTTGTGTTGAGAAAACCCACATGTCTGTGGGTCAAAGCAAATTCAAACATGAATATGCTCGATGCAGGTACTCGCTGAACACCCGCCCTATCCTCCCTGTTATGAAGCCACATCTTATCTATTCTGATGGCAGCAAAATATCCTCACCATGCAACACATCTCTGCGAAATCCCACTGTATTATGGTTCTGAATCCCAAGACCTTCCTCGGCCAACTGTGCCAATGGGAGGCGTACTCCATCAAATGCGGAATCTTTCATAGAATGATTCTGAAAATTCCAAATCTCCCATTATGTTGGACACATTTTTCAATATACTAGTTACTAGGTTCAAATGAGATAGGACTAGTGCCCCAAAATGAGTTGGGACTTAGTATATAGAGGACATAGTATATAGAGGATGGAAAATACCGCCTCATTCTCAGTGCCTGCAGGCTCTCTGAAGCCTCCATTGCAGCCGCCAGCTTTCTGCCCTCCTCTTGCTGCGCCTCCTGCGCCCACATGGCTGGGACGTCGAGTGGCCCTTGAGTGGGCAGTGGGCCTGAGTCGACTGAAATGGTGTTGACGGAGTCACCCATGAATGGGTTGACGGAGTCTTTTCTTAGGGGTCAAAAGAAAGGGAGAGATCCACAGGACCCAGTTCTTGAAAGTCTCTGCGGTGAGAACAAACACGATCGGTTTGGTGTGCAACACTCCGGTGTTCAGTCCACTTTACTGACCTAAACCTTCCAACTTCACACACCCACACCCACACCTCTCTGACCAAAACTACACCAATCCCCCAATCACAGCGTCGCTACGCATGTGCCTCCCGCTTTTGCCGCTCCGCCGAAAGCATCTCTTGGAGCTCCTTGAGTTGCTGCTCGGCCACCTCGCGGCCGTGCCAGGAACCGGGCCCCGAGATGCCCAGGTGGCAACGGCCTTGGAAACACCCACCAGGTTTCAACGAACTTGCTGTTCTCATGTACCAAGAAGAGCTGGTTCGGATGTCTTGGAGTCTTGGAGCTGTGCTGAGCATGTGCTGTGCCCCTGCATAGTGACAAGGCGAGTACAGCACAGGCAGCACAGACCTGCAAAGAATTATGTATTTCATTTTTTTTCCAGTTTGCACTCTATTGTACTCCTATAGTCACAGGTACATGAGCGGACCTTTAGATCCCTGGCTAAGTTGTGGATGCTAAAGAACCCCAAGCCGACTTGTCTCAGAATCAAGCAGCATCAATGGACTATATACTATATATATATACTTACTATAACACAATACTGTATCACCACCAATACATAGTTCATGCAAAACACGCACTTACACTAAACAAAATGACGAGTGGTTGGGGGTCTCCCTCCAACAACTGTGACCTGTATGCCAACAGTTCTTTTGTTCAACCTTCTTGCATGTTCCGCGTGTCCCCTGCTCAAAGGCGTGTCCCCTGCTCCCAAAAAATAGAGAACACATACTCTTTCTGTCCAGCCGAACATGTGGGCCTCTTTCAGCTCCATTTGCCGGTGCTCCGCCTGGCAAAAGAATCCCGTCGGTCCCCGTCAGTCCAATAATCAACATGAACCCTTTTTGGGATAGGGAGAGTGTTTCGGTCCATGCGATGGTGGTTGTATGTGTTCATTGACTTCGCCACCTGCAGGATGTCTGGACATGTCTGGACCCGTTCATTCAACATGAACCAACTGCCCCCCGCCCAAACGAGGCGAATCAATTGAACGGTCGTGGCATCTCCCAGGCATTCCAACACCTTTATAAGAGCATTTGAATATGTTCTTCCAGAATCACATGGATTGTTAAACATTTGTATAAGTTCGAACCAAAAAATCCTGACACAGAGTACTACAATTAAACAGGTGAACATCACTGTTGGTTGTTGTGAATCAGTATGGTTATAAGTTATATAAACACTCACACATGTTTGGACATGTGTTTCAACAGTGTTCTTGGAAACTGTCATTGGACATTGAAGAGTTCCCACAGTTAAAACATGTTAAACCAGTATGGCCGGTCATGGTTTCATATTCAATTGGTGTTTCCACCTCGTACAGTACCACAACAACGCGATGATTTCAATTGTCCTGTTGCTATACTGTTGGTGCTTTGTGATTTGATCCCCTGGCGCCGTACTGCCAGGATGCTCGCCTCTTTCGCTGTCTGGGCGTCCTCCTTCTGCAGCTCAGCCTCTGCACGTGCAGCCTGCAAGGAGAGACCGCAGGATGTGGCCGATGGTCTCATCCACCGTCAAACAACCAAAATCCAGCGATATAAACATGTTCACTATTATTGTTCACTACAAACCAGATCCACTGTACAACATAACCAAACTATTAAAAAAAGAAACACATCATCCAGTGATACATCGTGGAGGATTCAATGATAAATCATGTGCTCGCTGTACGTACATCGCTCGTGGATGAACATCTGTAGCATCCAACATCCTTTAAAGGGCAAGCATGCAGCACACGATAAAAGAAACTACAACAACAGAGTGCAGCGGTTTGAACAATCCAAAATCCTCTTGGCAAGTTGCCAACATCACCTGCAGGTCTTAAGTCCCACAGCTCTAACAGGAGGTTAAATGCATGCCCGTCAAGAGAAAATGGATGGCCCGTTCCTTTACTGGTCGGGTGGTCCACCAATGGCCACCAGTTTTCTGCCCTTTTGGCTCTGCGGAGGTTTTCTGGGCAAGTCTCAGAAGCTGCAAAGTTCCCGCATCCTCACCTCTACATCACTGGCCATCTTCTGTGCCAGTCGAGCATTCTCCTCCAGGAGTTTACCTAACACGTGCCCAAAGCGTGGCCCAACAGGACGCCGGCACGGCCAGAAGGATACATTTTGGGCCTTGCATTCTTCCCCCGGGCGACGCAATTTCGATCAACAAAAAGGGGGGTCCAAGGGACAGTTCAGTCCACTGAGGAATGGAGCCAGTTTAGGACTGACAGTCGAGGTAGTACTAACATGTCCGGGACCAGGTCGAGTGACACTGAAAGTACAGATGGATTTGGGGCTAGGAGAGCCGAATCTGCACCAGCCGAATCACCATTCAAACCGTACGATCAATGGATCAATCGATCCAAAGGGCTGATGAGACGTGTCCTGCATGCAGGAGTTCATTGTCATTTACAGTACGTCTGAGGAAATACGAAGCATTCCTTTGAGCGTTCCGGAGCCCTTCTATATCCTTCCAACATGTGCTCCGCCCCATCATTCCAAGCGGTTTTCAAGACTGGCTGCTCTGAGCTTCCACCTCCTTCTTGGCTTCAGCCAGCTCCTCTTGCCGGAAGAATGACGCTGCCATGGCACCGAAGAACTCACAGAACACCGATGTGGGGTTGTTCTTGCACCTTGTCCCCTAGTCTGGGGTAACTAGCTGTTTAATGTTTTGAGGAAAAACACCGCAACTCAAATTGACAGCAAGATTGTCCTTGGAAAGTTCATCCCACCGATAAGCCCAACTGGGGCCCAACCCAACAAAATGAGTCTCAGGTTTTCACACCAGCTTTCTGTGATCTTGATTTTTTTAACCGTAGGAATCATTTCAATCTTCTGCGTGCCCCACCACCACTTCCACCTCAAGCTGCTGATTCAGACTTCCCCACCATCACCAGACCGCACAGCCAGGTCCTTCTGCAGATCCGCCTTCTCCTGCTCTTGGCGTTGCGTCTGCCGCTGGAGCTCCTCAAGCTGCTGCTGCTCCAGGCGCACCTGAGACGCCTGCCTGGCCCAAAGCTGAGCCAGATGCATCATCGAAAACCAGGAGAACAAAGCCACCGCTCTCCAACTCCGAATTTGCTGCATGTTTGTGTCCCAACGTGTCCCAAATCCACCAGTTCACACCCACTTTCTCACCTTCCCTCGGCCGTCTCCTTCCGTTGCAAACGCATGGGCCTCAACCGTTCCTCGTCCAGGTGGCTCTTGGCTTCAGCATTCTGGTGCAGCAGCACTGTCTGTCTTTGGAGCTCTTCCGACAGCCTGCCGCTCCGCCGAGGCGGGGCCCGCCGAAAGGGCCGTGGTTGCGCGGTTTCGCGTGGAGCCAGGACACATGTGGGGTCTGTGCATTTGTGGTGGTTCCTCTTCTCGTGGCAACACAACAAACATCTTCCAAGTTACCCAAAATGGCCTGTAGCCAGCAGCTCGAGATGAGCCCCGAAAATGCAGGAGTTGAATTCTTTCCTGGACTGGACGGCTTAAGTTAAGAAGGCCAATAGCTTTGGGCCATACTCTCATCCCCACTTGATTGCATGGTGCTAGCAAATGCTGGATGTTGATGTGAAATGAAGCTTTCCCATCTGCCCGGCACTGGTGGATCATGAACTCTCCGTACCAACATCCTGCAGGTCGCAGCACCACGGGGAGCCTGGCGTTCTCCACTTGCTTCTCCTCCAGCTCTTTCCACCGGTCCTCAGCCAGCTTTCGGGCTTCCTGGCAGCCGCCCCAGTGGGGAACAGGCATGGAAGACCGTACTGCTAGACCCGCGTACTGGGGAGTATGGGGTGTGGGGTAAGAATGGGGGTACGGTATATATATTCGTATTCCCACACAAATTGAGGGGTGTGGGGTCTTAGCAACTTGGTAATCATGAAGGGCATGCAGTGATAATCTGACACTTGCGAGCAATGGTATGCGGTATGCGTATACTTCAGTGCAATTGTGTCAAAAGAGTTCTGAGAGCTACAACCCTGAATTCCATTTCTCATAGTATGATTATGACACTTCCAAGTAGCCAAATAGCAAACAAAAGCTAACACCGCTCTTCAACAAGGGATCAACCGGATCAGCTTCGAGGAATATGAATATGGTCGGAAATCAAAACTCGAAGACAATCGTTTAACCTTCTCAACTCCTGATGTTGAACAGAATGCTTCTGTCACGACTCCTTTGCATGCGGAACATGTCGTCGTGTTTCGCACCGGTGCGGATGCTCCGTACGACGCCATCTTTTTACCCTACCTTCCTGCAGCCCCCACAAAACATCGGCTTCTTGGGCATCCAGTCCTGAATGGAAAACTCATTTTCCTGCCCTGTCAACGCACCGGGCGACAGTGCCTCCAGTTGTGCTCGCAACTTGGCTTTGGCATCGTCCACCTTGGCTGAGAGCTCCTGGCTGGGTGACTTGGCACGGGGGAAACCTGTTTTGGAACACTGTGTCAAGTTGCCCTAGCCATAAATGTAGGACAGAACTTGGGGTGCCCGCCTTTCAAAGGATTTTCAACCGGATCAAATGGATTGGTAAACCAGGGAGCTGAATTGCAAAATGAAAACACCCAAATTCTTCTGACAATGGCCCATCCAATGGAACTGAGGATGTAACATGATAAACTGTAATTACTCTTTGCACTTGGCCTGCCCTCAGCATTCCGATTTCTTGATGCGTTGCTCCCACCCAAATCAACCATCCTTTTTGAAGCTTCTCGCTTTCAAAGGCCAGCCACACTGGCGATTGAGGGTTGGGCGGTAGCCGCGTAGGTGAGATGTTGACAGCACATTGACATGTTGAAGGAGCCCAAGCATCGTCAGTCAATTTGCCAAACTGTCTATGTTTGTGTTCAACGAAGTGGTTCCAAGAGTTCTTGAATTGTACCATACATTTGTCCTCAAGTCAATAGCTTCTAGAAGCGACTGGTGCAGCACGCTTCCAGTTCGACCAGTCTTATAATCTGGAACCTAATTTAGAACTGGAACCAACAAAACCATTCTGAATCTGGGCAATCTGGGCTATCTGGACCCAGAAGTAAGGGCCCTTCCCCTTCCTTGAAGCACATTTCCCTAAAATTGAAGCTTTGAGCCTTGATAGTGATTTCTGGGTAAAATGAGTGACTATCGTTTTCAGATGTTATCAGGTGTTCGGGACTAACAACATGAACTCACCAGCTACTTCCGTAAGCATTGAAGTATACAGTATACAACCTAAACTAGACCCGCACAGGTTGGCACAAGTCAAACTGACCTCTATCAAGTAGCATTTTCCTATTCAAATCCAGCCTAAGCCTTACCTCAAAAGTGCAGTCCACCATGTCGTGTGGCCTGTCAACATGTTGGTTGTTCCCCAAACTCTCTTGCTCACCCAGCGCGGTTTGCGTACGCACTGTTTGCGAACGATTCCGGCCTTTTGGTCACCACACAGGTGCGATTGACACGTGGCTGTCGGTACTCTTTCAAACAATGAAGGACATCCAATATGTATGTGGAGAAAAACAGTTCAAGCCACTTTTTAACGGCTTTGCACTTCACTTTCCTCCCTATGATAGGGAACTATAGTCACTGTAGAATGGTAGAATCTGGTAGAACATGAGCCTTAAGAACCACATAGAACCTCGCTTCCTTTCCGCACCAATTCTGGTTCATTGGTTCTCATGGTTTCGTGATCCTTTCGTGCGTGGTTCTCACAGACCCCAAACTCTGCCATTCGGGAGATATGCACGAGTTATAGGTATAGGCGGTATAGCCGGTATAGGTGGCAACATGGCGAAAGTGGATAGGTGCCGGCAGGCGAACCACCCTAGTCCAGTCCATTCATGCTTGTAGGAGTGTGACTGACACGCTCTTTATGTAGGAGGGGTAGGATGCATCAGCCAATTAAAGTGAAGTGATGGTCAATGATTGATCCACGCAAGTCATCCAACACCAGGACAAAAAAAACAACATTGGTTCGTCCTCTGTGATATGATATGGGGCTCAAGGTTTTGTTTGGAGTTCGGAGATTCTCCTTCAATGGCATCACCGGCTGAGAAACTCAACTCAGATCAACTCAGTATATCAAATCAGTATATCAAATCAGTATATCAGTTTCAGGGACACACACACACACACCAAGACAACAGTGAGGGCCCGACGCGTAAACCATTCACTCCGGAGCCGACAGTCAGGGCCAAGCTGATTCTCTATATACAAGCGGCTATTCCTTTCTCAGCGGATCAATACTTGCACATACCTCAGGTGAATCTGTAATATAAAGTCATAGTCTTCACGGAAATCATAAAACCTGGACGACATGTTCACGGAAAAAAAGGTCATGTCTAATTACCTTCATGTCAAACAAGTGTTTTGTCACGTCATTCCAAGATGTCTTCATGGATAAACCAGACCAAGGAACCGCGGACATCATACAAGGGCATGATGTTCCGATCGTCGATATCACACTCGCACATGTCCGCCACACCCAGCAGAATCTGCATAAGCTCTTGAGGACCATCGATGATGACTTTGCCTTTCTCCTAAAGATTGGCAGACAAATCAGATGCAGCTTGGTTAATTCAAACAATTATTCAAAACCCTTCTGCTTCGCAGACTTGGTAGACTATGGCAGAATTTCAAATCCGAAAGGAGTGGACATGTTTACGGCGCTGCTCCTTCCGTCCACATCCAATTCCATCTCAGTACATACCGAGGATTGTCCCGATCGGAATGTCCTCCACACGGCCCCTCGACCTCCCTCGACCGGTCCTCCGCAGATCGCTTGGTGTAAATGAGTTCCTTGGCGGCCGGTCGCTTCGGGGCCCCCGATGTGTCACGATTGAGCGACCGGTTGAGCGACCGTGGAAACGTGAGAAAGAGGATGTGCACTATGGGGCGGGTGGGTGAGAAAGCCGTTGGATCTATACGAGGCTCTTAGTAGATTCTTTTGGGGGTCCCAAGCACTGTTGGTTGAGAATCGTTCACCAAAGCGGATCTGCACGGTTCCCAAGTGGTGTACCTGAACTGTCAACGGATGTAAGGATATACGCCCTCTCACATCTCAACGCCCTGGTTGTGAGGCAAGGCTCGTACGGCCGCTGGAGCTTCCGGGTGTTTTGGCCCCAAAGCTTGCTTGGATCCTTGTCCTTGATTTGAACTTCAGCTTTTGTCCTCCAAATTCCGCAGGTCCTGAGCACCGGCTGGCTTGTTTGTCTTATTGCCACTACAAACAGCTCTGTCCAAGCACTTGTCAAGCCGCAAAACCGTTTTTGCCGGTATTACCGCACTAAAATATGCCAAAGATGAAATGTGGCCACGCATTTTCTGCCTACAAGTCATCCATCTTGAAAAGAAAAACACGTGCCGGAATGGATTGGGAAGATATCGTTTTAGGGAGTTTACTGTTTACTCGATCATATTTAATGATATACAATGTGTTGAACAAACCCTGAAAGCATCAATGTCAAACACCTGCCAAATGAGTGCAGCCACACTTCTAAATCTCTACCTCAGCTTCTTGAGTCGAGGTGTGAGCACCTACACGCAATTTGATCTTCTCATCCGCAAAGATTTCTCTCACAAATCTCTTCACATCTGCGCCATCCATTACAAGAGCACATTTCTGTTCAACATGCTTATCGTTCAGTTATCATTTAGTTGTGTTGTTAAAAGCATTTAAAAGCCTAGTTACATCTTGGGAAAATATTGCGGGAAATGACATGAAGAAGGCCGGGAAGATTACGAGAATATGCTATATATATATATACGTTACAAACATAATATACGGAAAGCTTGAGGAATGGTTGGGGCGCAAGGTTCGCATGGGAAACGTCTCAATGTTGGCATGCTATATACTTTCGGTTCCACAATTCCATGCACAACTATGCTGTCAGGAAGCGCAGGTGCCGGTCCAAACGCAGTACTTGCTATCACATCCCATCACATGTGCTCATTCCATCTCATTCCATCTCATTCCAAGGTCATCGCTTTTGGGAGTTCATATATCGTTTTACGGGTCGAAGATGGTTGAAGTGCATGTTTTCAGTCAATCTGTGCTCCAATACCACTCTGTTTGATGGAGAGTTTAGCTGTTGCTCACATGTGCAATCACCCTGATAGCGTGCGGGGCACTCATGCGCGCGCGGGGAGCGGAGAAACGGGGGATTGGATATATATCGACCTGTCGTGTGTTGACTCGCTCGCTTCAAACGAAGCCCAGACCTGATCTATCACCGAACAAATGGCGGTTGTTAAGATTTGACAAACTCCTCGACAAAGAAACTGGCATCATCCTCACAGAGAAGAACCGTGAGAGCAACCGAAACTGACTAAACTAACTAAACCCCAAGAAAACACCTAAAACGCTACACACTACATAACTGAGGACTTTGGTGAAGGCCAGAAGATGCCCTCGTGGAAAGTCGCGAACGAGTCCAAAACAAACAGTTGACACAGTTGACCGCCATGAGCTTCCAAATGTGTTGAACATCCATGGGACGCTACTAGGGGCTCCTGCCCGTACTACTAGGAGCAAGGACGCTACTAGGAACATCCATGAACATCTGTCATTGTCGATTGTGCAACCCAGACTGCCAAGCAGCTCGCTCACTACCAGCCAAGTGCCTGCCAAATAGCTTGCCAAATATTATGTGATGAGCTCACTCTGGTCGTTGCCCGATCGGAATCTTGCCCGATGTCGGGTCCCTATATATGTCTCAATGAACAGCAACCCCTCTACAGTAGCCTCCCAGCTAATTCAATTTAGCTAGCCACTTAAAGGTTGAGGAGGAGTCATGTCAACTTATTCCTGCTAATGCTAATTTGCTTTGGTTGGGTGTATTTCGGCAAGTCCAGGGCTTAGGAGGTGTTGAAATGGCCTTCCAAGTCTGATGCACTCCATTCAAAACATCAACACATTATAGTTGGCATCTTCAAAGGCACCTTGCATGCACTCTCCAACCCTCACGTGTATGAGTGGTCCTTGCTCTCCAAACACTTTGGCTGTTGGGCTCTCCATTCTTGCAAGTAAAGACACTTTGTGTCTCAAAATGATTGGGCCTTTGCCGCTCCATTTGTCTCCAGGACAATTACTCCTGTTGTCTCGCTTTGCGTTTCATGCTTGCCTGCATCGTGGCGTCCTTTTGTGTCCTGTTTGCTCAACGAGGCTTCATGCCGACCGATGCACCTGACCGTACCGTACCTCTGCCCTCTGGGTCTCCACAGCCGAGTCTTGCTGTGTCCTCAGACTATCATCGTCCCCTTTGACGGCGCTTGGATGACGTTTGTCACGATATCCCATGAGTACACTGGTCGATACGGTTTTTTTGGGTCGATACTGGTGTGCTCAGGTCAGAGACACCCACCAGCTACAAGACATACTTTGTTCGCAAGGCTTTGACAGCCGCTCTTGGGAATCTGTAGATCAACCCCATCACCATTTACCCGTTGAGATGCAGCCGCCTTCAAGTCTCTGCACCAACTCTGGCTGGCTGTCGTAAAGGGCTTCCAGCTCGCCCTCCAAGTTGGTGTCCCAAAGTTCCTAGAGACACAGGATTCTGGAAAGGATAGAATATGGATACTAGTATATATGGATGAATATGGAACAAATCCCTCATGAAACATCATATGCCCAAGTAGCAACTTGTTATGGCTGTTGGATATGATTATCCGTATTCATTTATAGTCTGTTTAACTCCAGGATGACTAGATTGACTGGAGAAATCTTGGCTTCCCAAAAAACAACGGGATGTTTGTGGCGTTTACCGTAGCCACATTTCCGCCAATCCATCCGGTCTTGAACTCAACACATTCTTACACTCTTAAGTGATTTGTGTCTACTTACTTGAACCCACTGACTGTAGAAAACACCCTTGTGCCCCACAAATGAGTTCCCAAAGAGAACACCCCTCCTGCCGTCGCTTCCTGTTCGGACTGTGGGACCGGAACCGCTCCGTCCCACACCACGGAGGAACCCCTCTGGTGGCCGATGAAGCATATTGACTATATAGTGACTCAATGTGACTCATATGCATAAGGTGCGACGTTCCACAACTGGCCATAAAGTCCTGTGTGATCTGAACCTCTGAACCTAGTGGGCGCAGTACAGGTCTTCCCAATCAGGGCGCACCTGAAGGCCTTTCACTGATTTTCACTGACTCTACATTGTGTCTGCTATGAAGTGCCATTTCCACACTACAGAGTCAGAGATTGAGCACTAACCTGCGCCAAAGCAAGCCCGGTGAGCCTTCATCTCAATCACTGCTGGACCAAACAACAAACTCTTTCCCCAGCCACCTCGCCGTGGGTCCCAAAAACATGGGGCAAACAACTGTCTGAACACACAAAAATGCCAAACCATGCCGAACTCTCCCCGTCCTTGAATTCGAGCACTGAACGCTCACATAGCTTGATGTTCGGGAATGGTGAGTGCGTGGCAAACTCGGAATCCTCACCTCAGCATCCCAGCACTGGATGCCATGGGAATCTCGACGTCCTGGTTTGAGTGGCTTGTGGGAAAAAAGGGACGATCTACTCCATGGAGCGGTCCTTCTGCAAACGGTATCAAACGGTCCAGTTGCATCCATGGATGGTGCCACACCGACATGCACAAGGTGATGCCCCGAAAGGTGGGCCACGGCGACTGCCGAGCAGTCCGTGCTTTCCGCTGGCAGTTTCAGTTGTTGGGGTGTGGGGCATGTCCATTGGGTCCTTCGGCCAGTCGATTCCTCAAAATGGTTCAACGCATTGTTCCTGTAGTGGAGTGAGCCGCTCTACTCTCACGCCTGCATCCTCCAAACAAATCTGTAGAATTATGTAGAATTCAATTCCGTCGAGGAGGCACATGGGACCAGGATTTGGGGTCTTTAGACTTTAAGCTCTTGTGAGTTGTATGTTCACCAGCGACCAACATTTAAATCAGGTTCCATTTTTTGAGGCCAACCTTCTGGTGGATGACAATGAATTCGCGCTTTGATTGCAACCCATTCCATTCAGCTAGCCACCCATCTTTGGGGCCTGGGATCTGGACATCACGTACTTCTGACAAGTTCTCCGACGGTGTCGCCGTCTTTGTGTGGAGAAAAAACAAACACATGTCCCCGTCGTTGTCCTGGGGGACACGTTGAGTCAGTCTGTAGCGTTTTTAGAAGGCGTCTTGGATCACATGTCCCACATGTCATGTGCGTTACCCACATCAACTATCATCAACTCCTGTCAGACATCGCCCAACATCCAAGCTGCCATCCCAGAAGTAACGGACACCTGGGACGCAAAAACAATATGACACCGAGGTGTTATGAGGTTCTCAAGAACACAAAAAAAGAAGAAAACACGTCGTTTGCAAGCGCCAAAGGTCAACCAGGAACAAGATCGACGGGGGTTCTTTCGCATTATTCGCAAACCTTGAACACTTCAAGTGCTCAAAGTCACCTTGAAATCTCCAAGCAGGCTGAGGATCCAAACTTTGAAAAACTCATGAGTTGCCTTGAGGTTCCACAACAGGACAACTAAATGTTTGCGGTTTCTGACTACCCTCAAGGGCGTCAATTGGCCGGATGTGGCTGCAAAGATTCATGAACACTTGACCATTTTCGACCAAAAGACCTTCAATAGATCTTACCGGCATAGATAACACACCCGCTGGGACGCTACATGCTCCACAAAGAGGCAAGACCATGAAAGCCCCAAGTCTGACACGTTTCAAATGAATGCATTTCCGCCAACAAACAATTCAATCAACAATGATGTTAGCAAGGGAGCAAGCCACCTTCTTCAATTTACATAACTTAACAGTACATCCAAACCAAGTCAAGTGTAAAACTCGGCCAAGTTGGCGAAGCTGGTTGGTGGGCGCCAAGGACAAACATGAGTATCCCACCGACGAACCCAGTTCTTGAACTTCCACCAAACCCGGCAGGAAAAATGGCAGGTTCTTGCCCTGCAAAAATGAAATAAGTCTCAAACGTGAGCACTCTCCAGTTACTGTTGGCAATCCTGCACAAACCAAGCACCTTAGAAACACCAAACAGCATGGGATTCAGCCCATCTACAGAACTGCAACATGAATAACATGACGACAAACCATGGGGTCCTTACGACCAACAACTGCAACGAGCGAACAGCGACGGTGCAGTTGTTGCTTGACGCGAACAGCGACGGTTTGGCCTGGCTTGCGCTCTTTCTTCCACCGTCGGAAGAGGTCGATGGCGTCTTGCGTCGGATGCCTCGTGAGGGACCGCGAACATGAAAGGAAGGATGGGTGCAGTCCGATTCTCAGCCCGATTTGGAGAACCCCGAAGGAATGACGTGGATTGTGAAAAGCCTTTCAATCTCACTGATTTGGAGGTGGAAGCACTAGGTGCCAAATGTTTGAACCCCCTGGGATGTCTTCCATGCCCCTTGGAGGTCAATGTCCTGAAGAGTCCAAAGAGCCCTTGGATCCCAAGTGTCTTGACCAAGGTCCCACACTCCAGTTCTCTGCTTAGAACTGAACTTGATTCATCATGTGTCTTTTCTCCAGTAGTTCCAAATACATCACACATTCCCAGTGATCAATTCCTCTCTAATTCTCTTTGTCTCTGATTCCAAGTCATCATTGGCCAATGGCCCAATCCTGCTAGTAAGCCCCGGGCGCTAGCCCCCTAAATCGGGTCAGCAGGCCCTGTTTGTTGCCAAAGGCCAAAGCCGAAGGCCTCTAGTGTGGGTCCGCCCCTAGCCGCCGACCCAAGCGCCGTAATCTTTTGTGGACCTAGCAGGCCTGAAAATGATTGAACATGCACGTGACACCCTTGTATAACCATGTAGGACCATTGCTGGGGTGCCACAAGTGCTCCCTTCAAAGCAACAAAATCATCTCTTCACTGAACTCTTCGAGCGCTCTCTTATCAACCCTTCTCACGGCAAGTCTTCCATTGGTCCATAATTATTGCAGCTCCTTCAAGTGCACCGTTGCAATCAAAGATTCAAAACAACAAAGCCATGCAAAACCACACCCCACAGGTGTAAACCAACAATCCACATCCTTTCCTATCCTCTCATCTCATCTTCAATGCCACCCTCGCTTTAGCCCAAGCGGCATGGGGGTGAGTGCCGACTTGTCCGCATCGTTTGCATCAATCCGGCAGGAGCCATCCCTGGGCACAGACCGTGCCGCATGGTGTCTATCATCACACCCTCTGGACAGAACATGACAAAACCACAAGGGAGGTCAAGCAATTCCCTTGCCATTTAGGTTTTAGCCTAAGACATTTTAGAGCATCACCGATCCGTAGGTCAACCAGGGGATTGCTATCCACAGCTGGCAGGGTGGATCAACCTGCCGTATCCTTGGAATGAAGAGATCGAGATAAGAACGAGCTGGTTGGATTAGTCGACCATGCTAGAGCGTCCGCCTCAGCCACAATTCATGGCCATTCTCAAAGGGTCATGAGCCATGAGACATCAGCCAATCAAGTTGCAGGTGTCTTGGTCTTTTCATCAACAAACGAGCGTTTCACATGACAGGTCTGGTCTCAAGCAGGTGTCCAAGTTGAACATTGCTCGCCGACGGACTCCCGCACCGAAGGTGGAGTGTTTTGGACTCGTGTCCAGTCCTTCACAGCAACAAGTGCATCGTCACTAGTAACAAGGGCAATACTACTAGTAGCAAGAAGCTAGTAGTAACAAGTGCCACGCTAGTAGTAACAGGTGCCTTACTAGTAGTAACAAGAAGCTAGTAGTAACAAGAAGCCATTTGCTACTACTAGTAGTAATGCACTTGTTACTAGTGGCGATGCACTTATTACTAGCAACAAAAAACTACTCAAATCACATGAGTCTTTTGGACTCGTGTCCAGTGAGTACTTCACCCAACATGGCGCACCGGCCCAACATTCTGCCCCAGCCAAGCCGGCCCTAATTGGTCAGTGTGGCCTGCAGGAGCGAGAAAAGGAACGGTCCACATTCTTCGCTCAGTTCCTTTTCCTAAAGAACTGAGCGGTACACTAGCGACTATCTTGGGAGTACATCCATGAACAAACAACGTCCTGCCAAGTGTCCGGATCCATTCCCACTTCTCACAGCTCTTCTCATCTGCTACCCATTTGGCCTCCACTGTGTCAGTGTTTGCCCGTTCGTCTCTGCCAAAGGTGAAGCGAATCTTGCCTGAGGCTCTCACTTTGCTCTGTGACAAGTTCGGATGTAGTCAAAAAACTGACAGAGTGTGAAGCAACACCTTCAATGCACACACATGACCCATCTGGTTGTGATCACAAGAAGTGAACTATAGCTGCTGGCCCCATTTCTACCCATTTCTACAGTAATTATCAGGGGATCTGGTAGTTCCCTCATTGATTTGTCAAACCCACATTGCCGTCATCCAAGCCAACAAGTCTCTTCCTCTGAACTGCTGAAATCGGAACTCTCAATATTCTGAAGCTCTTCCCAGCTCCAAAACCACTTTGTCTCTTTCTCCATCCTCACGTTTCATCACGGTTCATCCAAGGAGCCGATGGCTTTGCTTGGCCTTCCCTCCAAGACTCGATGCTTCTTGGCCGCGGACTTGCTGACTTCCCCCCCGTTCGATGCGGGCCTCTGCCATGACAGTGCATGTACGGCTCAGGTGTGGGCAACACATCTGCACCGCGAAGTCATTTGCACCAAAACAACGCACGTGATGTATGTGAAGCATGTGCAGCCTGCGAATTTCCTGAGTGGGGTCCTGTGGCTCATGTCTGGTTCGAGGTTCACGTAAAACCAATGAGTACCTCAAATAAGCAACAACCTCATCCACTTTAGTTGCCTTGGCAACCTATGAGAAGCTTAATTCAGTGCTGATAGATAGCCCCTGTTCACAGGGCCCCTGCTCGAAAGGATTCGAAAGGCGAAAGGGGTATGGATCCAGCATTGGAGCGCAAATGCTGAAGGGCTCTGCTCACTGTGCAAAGATGCCCATACCGTACCCTCTTGTTGGAGCTACCTACCTGCTTTAAATCCTTCAGCTTGGGTCAAGTTTCAAGTTTTGTCAGGGTCTTTCATCCAGTGTCCGGAAGAGAAACCTTAAGCCTTGGGGCTGATGCTTTAAAGAACACACGCCACGTCAGCCCTTGCCTTCTCTTCTGGCAAAGGCTTCAAGGAGGCTTTATCATTGTAAGGCAAACGCAGCCCATTTGTAGCATTGATGGTGGTCTTGTCAAAGACCATCTCCCACTCGTTGCTTTTGTCTTCCTTCCCTCCTTTTTCAAGCCCCAACAAATGTTCTCTCAGCCTCTGCAAATATGAACCCTTGATCTTCGATTCTTGATCTCAGTGGCCAACGGCAAGGCTTCCACAATTCTAAGCAGAGTGGGAATGTCTTGTCCTCTAGTAGGCCATTGCTAGCATGACATATTTACAATTCAGCTCGGTTCTTTAAGACATATCGTTGCTTCATCCCAACACAAACATCGGAGATGTTTCTCAGCCCCTACCAATAAGAACTCGTCACAGCTCAATACGTGGGGCAGCGCACCTGAACTCGTCACAGCCCCTAATAAATAATTACATGAAGACCCTCTGTTACACCGGGAAAAACACGAAGATTCAAATAGCTGGAATGGTCAAGGGTGTCCATACTTGGTCAAACAATGGTCATTGATTATATAATCAGAATTATATGAATTATATGTTCTACAAGGGCTTCTTTTCCGCCCAGTTCATGACCCCAGGCCCTACACCAGTTGCCCACAGTGTTAGTCTTGGGGACGAGACAGAGTGTCCAGCGACGGCACGAAACACCTGGTGACGACTCGCTTGGTCCACCCATCGAGCCTATGATGAGTCTCTTCCATACCAGCACGCACCCGCCCCCAAAAATGGTGACCAGGACAGTCATGGGTTGCTGTTCACAGGATTTCAACAGGTGTCAAATTGAAGAAACAACTGCAATGAAATGCACACATCTTCCGATGTTCCCATCTTCACCAGTTTGGTGTTCCGCCCACACCGACCAGTTCTTGACCCCCGAGGAGCTGAAGATCATCAAAGTGATCTCACGGATCCAGGGCGCACTATCCGAATCCACCACCAACTGTGGCCAAACCAAGTGGAAGGAGGTCTTCAACCTGGGCGTTTTTGAAAGATTCCAAGATATTCCAGGTAGATTCTGCGGCGATGCAACGATCGTCCCCATGCTGTGGAGGCCAAGCAACGAGTCGTCACGTGTTCCCTCGTGTCCCAGGACCGAAGACTCATTAAGGTAGACTCGGAATGGGAACACTGAAGGAAGGTCAGGTGAGTGTGTGTGTGAACATTACCCACAATGTGGGTGGAACATGGTGGAACATGCATCATTGCTGACAAACACAAGAATTATGCACCCCCCCGGAGACCAGGAGACCCAAGAATCATCCTCTGAGAGTTGGTTTTGAAACTGAAAATCAACAGATCTGTTCAGGACAGTGGATCACATGTGAACATCTTCAGCGATCAAGTGTCTTTTCTTTGCCCTTGTTGTAGCCGGAAGCGGAGTACACCAGGCAAGTGAGTTCTTCCTCGCTGCAAGCGAAGAAAGGAGCAGCCGACGACGGGTACAATCAGGAAGCTCCATAATATGGGTCTCAAACAATCCAAATGCATATGTTGTGCACATGTTCAGTTTCCCAATATCTGTTTGAAGGGGATCACTACTGGGCCACGTTTTGCAGTGAGTCTGTCTCCACACCATGAATGGTGCCGGTGTGTGTGTTTCTGTCAAGCATCAAACTGCGAATAGAGTTTATGGATGCACGCGGCCCTCTTCTTCATGAGCTCTCCTGGGTCTCCGTCGACGCATCCATTTCCTTGGTGTCTTTTTCAGGGCTGCGCGACAGGTGTGCGGAGGGAAGACCCTCATTCAAAGTGCTCTCACGTAGTGATTCATGGCCAAGGTTTCTTGATGTTTCTTGGGTTGTAGGATTTTAGGGTAGTCTTGAGATCATTGTTCATCCGGAATGCAAACGATGATTGCAGGTAGAATGCAAACGAGGATAAACGAGGTCAAATGTGCGCCCCCAGGAAGTCCCCCTACAGTAAATAGATTCTAGTAGCGTTCTTGCTCCTAGTGGCGATGCCAGGACGCCCGTAGCAGCTTCTATATATTTGCAATCTATTTAGAGTCAAACCTCGGGTCGAGCGATTCACGATTTCGTCCGAAAGTTGGAATCCGCACAGTTTTTCTTAAAACCGGGTGTGAGCAAAAGATAGGAAACGCATGGAAAAGTAATGAACAAAGAACCGTACACAGCAAGTTAAAGATGTTAAAGGCGAGGACGGAGAAGAACAAGGCAAATACATCAAAGCAGGAACACACAAGCCATATCAAGCCATCAAACATCACAAGTCCCTCTTGGGCCATCACAGTGTCCATCCCTCCTGGTACTTTCTTTGCCTCCCAGTGTCCATCCCTCCTGGGCTTCTCCATGATGAGATGGTCAGGCGGATCCGGCCGATCTTTGCCTGTGAGGCGCCAGCCCCGATGCGCGGCGTGAAGATGGCGCCTTCCCTTTAAGGGCCAGGTCGGAATCGAAGGGAGACGCACATGCGGCCGACTGGGTGACTTGGCCGACTTTATGCGGCTGACTGGGCAATTTCAAGACTGTCAATGAAGAAGCTGATCTCTCGCCGCGCTTCATGTTCCCTTCAAGGCAAATATCTGTATCACAAACCGGGATGTCATTGCCTGGACTTCCTGATATTCGAGACATTTCGAATCATTTCGAGACTTTCATAAAGTTTGGCATGTACGCCCTCAGTGCCTCCAGGTGACCCAAGGTGATATCGCGGCAAACAAGCCCTGACTTGGTTGTCTGCTCTCCTGAACCTTCCAAAGGGGGTTGGGGGCTTGCCACCCCTTGGGTTTCCTACAACCCCTTAGAATCTTGCGGCATCCCTGTTTATCTTCTCAATCCATCCATCTATTCATCCTCTTCTGGCAAGGCTAGTGAAGAGATGCTTTTCATACTCTGGCCCTCACCAGTTGGTACTCGACACGTCCAGCCTGGAGGCGCTTGTGTGTAATCGACATCAGCCTGGCAATGGCCCTCAACAGTGAGACCTTCAATGGATGGGTTTGGGGGACTCATGGGTCATGGGGACTCTATACAAGACTAGTACACTTTACTATAACATCGCTCCACGCATAGGCATATTGATACATTAGCATATGATCAGCCAATTGGGATCACAAAACCTAATCTTGGGGATAAAGCATAAAAACACTATGCAAAAAGCATCGAAGTGTTTGAACTATATATCAATAACTCTGAAAGCATTTCAGCACATACTGATATATACTGATATCATAAGTTCTCGGAACACCCCCGCAAAACCGCTGTGCTTTGTGCCCTAGCCGGTAGGGGTTCACGTTGAGGTGGATCCTCACCTCCTTGAAGCCTAGAAGTGGGTGGAGAGCGGTAGAGAGCCTGAGGCTGATTTTGTGGAAAGAACATAAACTACTTTAGTGCCCTTTGCTCCTAGTAGCATCCTTGCTCCGTTCGTAGCGATGCCAGGAGCTACTATGTCTGTATGATTCAACGGTTCATGAATGTTCATGAACTCTCTACAGTAGTAGAGCGTACCAGCTCTGTCTGTTTTCGGGTGTCTTCTCTTTCTGTCTGTTTTCGTGCTTCAAAATCCAAAAGGGACCAAGGCTGGCTGGCGAGCCAACCCAACCTTTTGTTGAGGAGCTTTGAAGTCTGCATTGCAAAGCCCAAGAGAATCATGGTTGGGTGAAACGATGGTTGCTCGCTTCGACGGGGAAGTAGCTTGGGCCTGGATGTCGAAGTCCTCAATAAAGGGAAATCGAGGCGTTTGCCGCTCGGAGATGTAATGGTAGATCCTTGGTGTTTTAAGAAAGGGAGTGTCGACGCCGAGCCGATACCTGACCCGAAGCTTTAGCTGCGCTACAACTTGGTCGCCAATGTGGCAACCTCAGTATATGCACAAAACATTACAAAATATTCAGAACTCTTGGCAGTTTTGAGGGGGCATAGATCGAAAGTAACCGCCTCCCAGTAGCTTTCTTCCAGCCGTTCACGAAATCGTGGGCTACCCATAGCCACTCCGTACCCACAAAAGACCCGGGTGGCGATGTTTTTTGTGGGCTACCGACCCTTGTCCGATCTTGCCTGGACTCAATCAAAAAACATCTGGCAGTCAGCAGGCTGGATATGTTTTTTCCTCTAGTGAGTCTGAGCATCTTGGTGCGTTTGCAAGATCTGCTGTAAACGTGTAACGTTTACAGTCCCCCCTGCAGGAATCAATCAGGAAAGTAACTTTCCTACACGAGTCTGATTGATCTTTAGCTCAACATGAAATATAACCATCAATTTGACTGTGGTCCGGAAAGGTACCAAGTGGTAGGCCTTCCAAGCAGGGTTCTGGGTTTGTTAAGATTTCCTCTGTATGGAAGTGGGTCCACTGTGCCAGATTTGGCTGGGAGAACGATTTTTGTGTCTGAAGGGAAAAGAATCAAGTTTTGAAGGGATAACAACGAAAGAACTCGATCGTATTAAAGGCCTTGTTTCTGCCTACAGTAATTCCACAAATAAATTTGCGACGACAACTACTACAGTACTATACAGTACTACACTATCACTATCACAATTAACAACCGCTTGCAGCCCATCTTCGGGGGATGCAGCAGGAACCCTTCACTAACCTCTCTGCATGCCTCGTTGTGAGGCATGCAGAAGACGTCCCACCGCTCGTCCCACCGGTGAGTCTCTAGTGCCTGTGGAGGAGTCACCGAGCATCTCTTTGTCAAAGAGCCACGCAATGTTTCGAAAGAGCTCCTCTTGAATGCCAACGGAGTCCTCACACGTTGAGCATCACAGAAAGAGCGAAACCAACACGCGAGCCCCCTTTCGAGACAGCGGTAGGAAGAAAGGAAAGAAAGGGGAACATCGGGAACATTTATGAGACTTGAGCTAAATACCAGCAAATGTCTTACACTTGTGCAACGAGCACAATCCTGAATCGCGTGGCTAATTTCATCCACACATGGCCTGTGGAAAGAAGGGGGCGGCTCTTCGCAGTCATTAATCCTAGTTAGCAGTGTTTGGCAACTCCAGGTCTGTAGAATGGTGGAACAAGCTGGCACATGACGGCACATGTTCTTGTTTCTACGGCATGCAAGCAAACGTCATTGACATCTCTAAAATTACCAACTTTTTTACATCACCCAACATTGACATCCAAGGGTCTGGAAAGAACCATTTGCCTGTATCGGTGAAGGTATCAGTGCTTCCTCTCAAGCTGCAATGTGTCATGCTGTTGCCATTCGTCTCGTGGTAGTAAAAGAATTGCCTGATCTGCTCGTACTTCTCGATGTCACCATTCTCGCGGTGCAATGCCCACAAAGACCCGGAGACACCGGCGGGAGAGAAGCACTGTGTGGCACTGAATGCAGTCAATGCTAGGTTTTTCCTCCCCCAACTGACTAACATAGCACCGGGTAACAAAGGAAACTTTACATCTTTTCATGGACGCGAGGTAAGTAGCCCTGCGATTTCGGGTCAGGGGTTGGCCAAAGGTAGATACTGTACTCAAATTTGCCACTGTCTTTTTTTTCCCCAGTTGATTCTTGCATTGTTGACTGTTTCAATATACTTACAAGTTTTATGGTTTTCATGACCTGTGTTGATGGGTGCGGGCGCTCTTAACCATTTAACTACTGCAGTAACAAAGGCAAAGCACTATTAGAGGAGATTAAAGGGCTGTCGCACCGGGTGGTTACAACCATTTACTGTACACAATAGGAGGATTCATCTTGGCAAAAAAGGGACTGAACCAAGGACTTCATTCTAACATGTTTTTCTTGCATGATCCTGGCCACACCTCCTTCTTCAGGTTCTTCATGCCCGGTTGGTCTTTTCTGCGAATGCGTGGCCAAAACCTCGGTCGACGTTTTGGATTGCCGCGATACGATACGGGCGGTGTACACGATGCTGATGAGGTCATGTCCGTCTCTAGCATTTTGTCTTTTTGATTCCTTTTCTAGTAGCGTTCTTGCTCCTAGTAGTAAGGTCAGGAGCCCCTAGTAGCGTTCTTGCTCCTAGTAGCTTCTTGCTCCTAGTATTGTATAATATTGTATATACATAGTAGAGAAGAGATTCACACTGACATCCTTGTTCCTTGGCACGTCCTCCTGTCCACTTTGGTGCTTTGGTGCCTGTCCCACTGATACACGATCTTTTTGCGACTGATCACTTGAAACAGGCTGTGAGCCCCGTGGTGGCTTCATCAACTGGAGGTCCCAGACGCTGTTCCAAGGCAGCAGGGAGCTTGAAATCGTTGTCCAAGACTCCTTTCACCTTGGATCCCAAGGAATGTTCCTCCTGTTTGGACTACCAGGACACGCTTTGTCAGGGAATATGAAGTCTGCAGGCATGTCCAACAAGGGGTACTGCACGCCGACACGGGGACCAAGTCAACACAAAGTGAAGAGGAAGATCATTCACCAAGTCAACCTGCTGATTCTTGGACATCCAGGGTTCCCATCCTTTTGAGGGTTCTCATGTGCTACAAACGGGGAAACAAACTATATGATTTTGGTCGAAGCTTGGACCGAAAGACACGGAGCGAGTCGAGAATGATGGACCTGCTATGGTATCCTTACCGTGATCTCCAAGACGGTGAGATCGCAGGCCCAAACTGTTCTTGATTCAGAGGTTAAACGCTTGCTGCTCCTACGAGAAATGACTTGCCTCGACCAAACTGCACGTCCCAATTCTTTGCCGCCTTTGCCTTTTGTGCAAAGCTTTTCAACGTGTTGACTGGAGGTCCCTCCCAGTCTTAAGGCAGCTTCATACCCCACCTGTGCAATCAAATCCCAGCGGTCGATCATCGCTTCAGCGATCTCCTGCGCAATCTCCTGTCGGCGTGTCGGTGCAAATCTCTCGCCACGCCCTGGGGCACCGTCCGATTCGGACCACACTCCTCTGGTGTTGCCCCACATCCCTTGGGAGGTCTGGATACAACGACAGGATCCTGCAAGCTATGAGGAGCGATCTACGTACACGAGAGCCAACCAACATGTTGTCCTGACCTGGTAGATAAATGGGTCTCAAAAAAGGAGAGGCAAACCCCAAAATACAAGAATCTGGGATGTACATGTAGACGAGAGTCGGCATTGGATAGTGGATCGTGGCTGGTTCAGAGTTCCTCAATCTGCCCAGCAACGTTTTCCCTCACAAATAGGTGAATCCCGGCACCTTCCTGCTACACCCTGCTACACCTTCCCATCGGAATCGGGTCCTCCAGGTATTTGTAGGTCATGCCAGGTTGGCGCTTCAGAACCCACGACTTGTGATACTCTTCTTGCAGTTCCAACAAACGCCTGGTGCCGACCGAGTCGCCGCGGATGGAGGCCCAGGAGCGGGATGGAGGCCCAGTTCCACCCGTGCAACGAAAAAAGGCTGAAGCAGTTCGGATGTGGGATGTGAATGGATTGGGTACCAGTAAAGGCTTGAATGTGAGTCACCAATATGCTTCGGGGGTCCAGCCTTGTTGTCCATCATCCAGAAAAGCAAAAACAACAATGATCGAGATTGACAGTTATCAAGCTGCATAAAAAAGGCACATCATTGCAAGTCATTCAGTCACTTAGTCCTGTCCTTTTCCTTCATTATGGCTGTTCGTATCCATGAGACGCCAGCCCTTAGTCACTTTAGTCACTAGACGTCCTTGTTCTATACTACTTGGTCATTGGTGACTCAGTGCCCACCGTAATTCCAATCGATACACATCCCACGTGTCCCTCGGCTTTCTTTCATCCCAGGTCATTCCATCCCTGGCGCTTCACATCTCGATCGTCCAGCTTCGGCCTGGGCAGTTCCGCAGCGTCCGTGCGCGGTGGTTCATCCGACGCTTATATTCTTACCGTTGTTAGTGCAACAACCACATTATGTGAAACACATTTCCGTGGGCTCCCATAATTTAAACACTTGGCCACACCAAACACAACCGTCTCTGCGTCCCCCAACTGTCCAACCAGGCCACTTACACTCAAGTAGCTCTTGGAGCTTCGCTTTCGGGAGCTGCTGAAACAGCTGCTGCCTCAGAGTGCGACAAATTGTGCATGAAGCAAGGAACTCCTTCAGTTCAAACACAGCTGCCATTGGCAGGGTGTAGTTATCCACGCACTTCAACGGCTGGCGACGTCCCTTAAGAATCCAAGCTTGGTAGCTCTCGGATCGCACCGATGAAATGGAACCCCGCTTCCCAGGGACGGAGTGGTGATGCCGAACTCCTTCCGTAGGTGCTCCTTGTTCTCCTCCCAGGCTTTCCTCGCGTGAGATGAGTCAGTTTGGACCACTTAGAATTGGTGCCCGCCCTCCCTCTTTGCGATCTGGGGCAACTGATGATATGCACCAAATGAGCCAAAACATATCAATGAAACTGTATTAAATACATCACCCCCCCCAGTGGATATACATTATCTTGATCGTCAAGCTTCGGCCTGGGCGCTTCCGCAGCGTCCGTGCGCGGTGATTCATCCGACGTTTCATGATGAAGGGAGTTCTGCAATCCATCCAGAATCCAGAAACTGTCCTGAAAATATACACACATGTATATATATATATATATGCTACACACCCCTAAAACCTACCTTTTAGACAATTTGAATGGTATTTGCAATGACTTGGTGAGATTTCAGAGGACAAATTGAACAGCATAATTTTGACCATATTGTGGTCTTTGTACGTGATTGTGATGACATGTGCAGAACAACGTGCGCAAATGTACAGTAACCATATTCAGAAAGTATCTAATGCAATTGCAAATAAAAACTGATGGACGTATTTGATCAAGTAAAGTTCAAAAACTATCAATCGTGTATCTCATGGTGTACATTACAGAATTAACTGTGTACATGCCAATGAACAACATTATATTAGCACTCCAATTCATACCGTCAGTTGTACCCAGTGCAATGATAATTGATGAGTACCACTGAGATTCTATGAGTTGTTAGCTTGTCTTTTGCAGTGTGACATTACATTGAAACAACTCAAACAAGAAATTTAAAGTTATACACATGTGTGACAACCACACAAACAAATATCATTTTACAAAGCAGTTGTGGAGATAACAAACAAGAATAAACTCTGCAACTCGCATTGTTGGCAAATATGAGATTTGATGAATATAACTGGCGATGTGAGTTGTAAGCCTTTTGAGTTCACACTATAACATTGGGTTTGCACAACTAGAACATTGACCTGCATGCTTCACAGGGTAACACATAGATTCACAGACCTATTTGTGCGCATGGCAACTGATATTGTCAAGTGAGTCAAGTGTTTACCAAGCACATGCGCATATGAGATTTGATGAAGACAATTTATAATGTACATTGTTAGCCTTCTCATACCTTGAGTTGTATCTAATGCAGGTGTAAGGATGGGATTTGATGAATGCAACTCTCACATTGAAGTTGAAACACTCAAATATACATATATATATATATACTGTATATGAATTGGTTAGTTGACATTCACAAATAAACATTACAATTGACAGGCTCACTATTGTGTTTATGACAACTTACAATATTGTAAAAAATTGCTGCAAGTCACACAGTTAGCTGTATTTAATGCACTTGTAAATTGAAATGTGAAAGTTGATTGATTATTTCAAGTCATTTAGTAACTGAGTGTTTTACAAATGTGGCAACCACACAGTAACTTGACAATTGACAGGCTCACTGGTGTGCATGACATCTCACTAGCATTTCTTCCTGTTCTCTTCTCTTTCCTTCCCTTTCCCTCCCATTCTCTTCTCAGAGAACAGCAGAGAAGAGAAGGGAGGAGGAGAGAAGAAAAGAAGAGAGTTGCAATCTCACTAATTAGTATTTCGATCTATCTAATCCACACATTTTGACGCACTGACTGGCATATTGAGATTACTTCTATCAAATTCACACATTGAGTTCAATTCTCACTGGCTAACATTTTTCAGATTACCTCTATCTACTTAACATATTGAATTGTTTTCTCTATGACTGCCATTTTGAGATTGCTTCTATCTAAAAAAGGACTTGGTGAGATTACTTCAATTGTTGACTGCGAAATAGCGGGCTTGGGAAAGACTCGGCTTTAGGAAAGTCTTAAGACCTCTCAGGTTCTAAGATCTAAGCTTCCCCAAAAAGTTGTGACGCATTCATGTTCGGGGAACTTTTTACGCATTTGTACGCGTACATTGCTCAAACCAAGAAACCAAGAACCAAGATTGCACTCAACTCTTGTCAGGAATCTTGGTTTGATGCAGCCAGTGTGGATGGCCTCCCGGGTCTCAAAGGACACGCCCCAAACCAAGATTCACTTTCATAGGTCCGTGCAATCTTGGTTCTTGGTTTGACCACTGCACGCGTACAAATGCGTTTGTACGCGTACTTTCCTGAAACTAATGCCGTGCAGTTAGCATCTCAATAGTTATAATGCAATAAGACTTGACACAAGTACATTTATACATGTATGTATATATATTATATGGTACTCCCCGTTCAATTAGCTGATAGATTGTCATCCTCAACCGTGAAACTGTCCAAAAGGTAGGTTCTTTTTACTTCTTTTTTGGGGGGTGTACCATATTCTTACCGTTGTTAGTGCAACAACCACATTATGTGAAACACATTTCCGTGGGCTCCCATAATTGAAACACTTGGCCACACCATACACAACCGTCTCTGCGTCCCCGAACTGTCCAACCAGGCCACTTACACTCGAGTAACTTGAGTAGCTCTTGGAGCTTCGCTTTCGGGAGCTGAAACAGATGCTGCCTCAGAGTGGAAGCAAGGAGCTCTTTCAGTTCAAACACAGTTGCCATTGGCAGGGTGTAGTTATCCACGCACTTCAACGGCTTGCGACCAGAATCCAAACTTGGTAGCCTCGGATTGCTTCCCACCGATGCTATGGAACCACCCGAACTCGCTTCCCAGGGACGGAGTGGTGATGCCGAACTCCTTCCGTAGGTCCTCCTTGATCTTCTCCCAGGCTATCCTCGTGCGACATGAGCCAGTCCGTGCTACTTATAGATAGAATTGGAGCCCGCCCTCCTTTTTGCGAGCAACACCCTCTTTTTTATACAAATGGGTAGCAGCGAATTGGTTGTGCATTGTGCGCCAAACCACAAAACCTCTGATATATATATATATATTTATGCATAGTAACCTGAAACTGAAACAAACAAACCTTTGCTTCACTTGATGTGGGGTATGCGTCACCTATGATGGCTTGGGGCTTTGAGTTTGAGCCCCAAACTGAGTTTCGACCCAGCATCCGCGCGTAATTGTACCAGCCGAAGTTGAAGGTGTCTATCCTCGAACCACTGCGAGGCTCCAGATGCCCCAGTGGCAGCTTCATGTTGTGGCCAGTGTTGATCCTGCGGCGCCCAGTGATCATGTGCAAAAGCCACATCTCTTGGAGTTCTCCAACACCAAAGGTGCCCAAAAAATACACCCTGCTGCAACTCCAACGGCTTCCCTCGTCTCCCAAAAACGGCTTCCCTCCACCTTGTCTCGAGGGTCCAACTGTCGTTAGTCCATGTGAGTACCGGACCGGAGAAACCGGAGAACTGGGATCAAACTCCTTGATTTGAACGCACTACCGACCTTTGATCATCCCTTGGGAATGGCTTCTTTATAACAAACATGAATGGGTCTTTTTCCATATGTTTTGTTCCTGGTTTTCCTGTGTTTTCCAATGCTTGTGAGGCATTGGAGGATCCCAGGAGCCTCCCCGCTAGGGCATCCAGCATCGGAACATCGATGCGGAAGCAAGGTTATCACACCACACCACACCGCATCACACCGTACGTCTCGGGTTTGCTGATGACCTGAGACGAAATCCTTCGGCGACCTTCGGCTTCAGAACCGGTGTAGGCTTGGCTTGCTGAGTGAAAAGTCATGTCCCATAAAACAACATCGCATCAACCGGGAAACCCACAGCCAATGGATCTTTGTGTATTTGGGGTCTAAAAGAACATGGTGACGAAACACATGTGGATCTAAAGTGTCCACAATCCCTTCCTGAATCTTTGAGAGGTTCCTGCTGCAACATCCTGTCCATTATGAATCAATCATGAGTTAAAAAGGCCGGGTCGTGCCCGTCCTGCTTTTGAGCCGCTCCCATTCGTGCTTGTTGCATCGTGAAATGAACTCCTCCACTTGCTTGTTCTCGTGGATGGCTGCATCCTGCCCAAAATCGAAGCAACGACAGGCGGGATGTCTGTACGCCGGTGAGACATTGTACGCCAAAATACTGATCATAGTCACCCTGAAGAGGTGTAATCCACTGAAACTACCACCACATCTGCAGGTTGTCTCCAAATTATCAATAAATTGTTCATGCAAGCTCTCCCTGCATGGATATGATTGCTATGAGATATCTAGAACGGCTGACTGACAGCCGAACCGAGCACGGACATACCACTCCTGCAAAAAACAAGAGTACATAGAAAACATGTTGCCTCTTGGTTTGCTTCCGCGCTTCTGATACTGTTTGTTTGCCTTTTCTGTGATCCTCACACCAAAAACGACTGATCTTCATCAAACCCAAACGGGTCAAAGAACTACCCCCTACGGTGTCGCCTTGCCTCGAGTGCTTGGGCATACTGGAGATCCAAATTGTCCCATTGATGGTCCCTGGGGGCTTGCGACCTCGGAACATCCGACACAAAAGCGACGCTCCGAACCCCGTCGACTTTGGTCGACACGAAATCAGAATAATTAGAAACAAGTGCCACGCTAGTAGTAACAAGTGCATCGCTTCTAGTAACAGGTGCCTTACTAGTAGTAACAAGAAGCTATTATAGAATAAGGTCCCCAAGAAACACTCCCGGTCCCGGTGTCTGACCTCAAAGACTCCAGGGAAGTGCTGGGTTTTGTTTGGGGAAAATGGTGTTTGACATATTCAGTGCTGAGCTTATGAGTACCAATACCATCCAATGCCAATCTTCGTAATGGTGGTTCCAATATGTTCCAATCATCCTTAAAAAGTCTCTCTAATCCATCAACCCCAGCTGAAAAGTACACCCTCCCAGCTTGGAAACAGCTGTACCCTCTCACCTGGTCTGTAACAAGGTGGCATTATGCCGGCATGATCCAAAAGCAAGAGATTTACTTGATCATTGTGTTGCGGTGGTCAAAAAGCACCTGCCAAGAAACACCGCATTTGTCCACCAAACCACCCCAACATCAACACGTGCCACACAATGGATCCAACACCGAAGGAACGCAAAACAGCCAGGGTCCCCAGCCGCCAAGCCCTGCGACGAATCGATCAGAAAGGCCCCGAAACATGGCCCACCGATCGAGTGGCTCTGGCGTGCTCGAGGCTACGAAAATGATGCCGCTGAGCTCCACGCCACAAACGCCTGGTGACCTTGGAGAGGTTTGTAGGGCACACGTTTCCGGTGTGTATTTCGTGGAGATATACTGGCCAACTGGGTGGTGTGGGGCATGACGCTAAGGGATGCCTTGGGGCATGACGCTAACGGAGGAAGGAAACAGATTTGAGATAATAGTCTCAACAATGATCACCTGCTGTAAACTGCAAGCAACCAATAGGAGTAATCAAAGTAATCGAAAGAAACACGCAATCTAAAGAAACACCTCTTGGTTCCTATTGGATTTTGCTGTTATGTCCATGGCTCTTTGAAGAGTAATTGCATGCATCATCCCAAACACCCAAAGCACCCACATCACCCCCCTGACTGGGCAAGATGCTCTGGGCAGAAGATTCGGCCCCACTGGTCAACGTCCACTCGACAGCGCTCCTCCCAGGGCTATCTGTGTACCCCACAACAACTTGACAATCGTGTTGGGGTCATGCATCATGCATCTATGACCCCAAGGAGACTGAAGCAACGTGATTGATCAATCGATTGACGGTTGATTGAAGACAAGCAATATATACATATCAATACTAGCATAAAGGGTGGTGTCCAGTACTCAAGATTATATACAGTATATACTATATATATAATATACTAAAAGTATGTAACAAAAAGAATTCAAGAGTGGTGCGACGCCCAATGCATCAATTTGTATAACATCGTATCTCTCTGCTCCTCAGAGCGGCCGCGAGTGAAAAAGGAGAGCCGCTTGCCCGGCTGGCAATCATCTGGGAGACGAGCCAAGGCCAACTTGGTGTTCCGCAAGGGCTTCTCCCACTCCAATGCACCTTCAAGCGCAGCGTGTGACATTCATATGCTGTCATGATCGAACAAAGACACATGCATCGCGCTAAAACCTTTTGGATGTGAAACAGTTGTTTCGGAACAACGTCTCATCTTGTCTATACATGAGTTACATTGAGTAAATGCACGAGTGAAATGAACAACATTCATACTTTCTCCTTCAAGTTCCATGCCCAACGCAAACAGAAACAGCAGGTACTGGTATGTCACGCCTTCCAGCACGACCACCTCACCCATTTTCTTGTAGGATGCACCTGGGGTGGTTTCGGTCAACTGAGCTGAACAAACGGGAATTGATTGGAGGACCAGCTGTGCGCCGTCCTCCGACACCAACCCGCCAAAACCACCCAACATCATGATGTGTGGGGCGGTGAAAAAGGAAGAGGCGATGTTCGGTATTTTGGCTTTGTGTGGGAAGGTTTCTTGCCACTTCAGTTTGACATTTTGTGCAAGGACTGTTGAACAAACAAACCAACACATCATACAGTGGTGCTAAGGCAGGTGCACAGCGGTCTATACGCAAATGAGTTGGATTCCTTAAAGGCCTAAAGGCTCAGAAAATTGAAATTTGAAAACTCAATGTTCGATGCTGAACAAAAACGAAGACACCCAACTCACCTCAGCCTTCTCATCGTACTCAAGCTATGGTTCCTTACATGTCATTTTAAGAGGCACCCGCATTTTAGGTTTATCCATCATGATCCTGTATGATCGAAAGCGAGGCGCTGCGAGTGTTCGCCGCAAACTTGTCCTCAGGCGGGCGACACTGGGCGACCCATGATGCAGTGAGAGTCCCGTGAAACACACGCCTTCGGCAGGGCCATGCCATGGAAAACTGCTTTTGGTACGGTAATGTTCATAAGACAATATCAAATCAGGCAGAGATTCCAGTTTTTCTATTTCCAGGCTAGCTTGTCATTGTAGTTGTGTAGGTTGGGTTCGTGCTTAAGATAGCCAACTCAAAGGCCCCAAGGATTCATGCGCCGCCCTACATGATGGCTGGGGCAGGATGAACACTTCAAGAAAATCCCAACATGATCAACATGCGGAGCTCTTGAGGTCCTCGCAACTGGAGCACCCGCCGCTTCAGTGTTTACAGGGCTTTAGTGCATGTTTCCAACTGGAAAGGGTCTCCGAGACATCAACTGTGATTCCCTCCTTACCAAATTTCTTGCGCATGTCCTCAATCCAATTGCCCTGCAGCAAAGTCTCAATCAAATCAGATTGACCATCAGGACTCGTCCAAAAACGTCACTGGCAAAAACACAACATGTGGTGTTGTGGAGGCTTGTCAACACTGGTGTATGTGAGGGCGGTGGTGTTTAAGAATTGCCTGGCGCCAAGCTGTGCTGAACGCGCGTTGTGTAGAGCAATATGGTGTGTGAACGCTGGCTTGCATTAAAGTTGCGGCGTGCTAACGCTGGCATGTGTAAGAGCTGCACCCACGCGTCATTGTAGGGGCACTGCTGTTACTGCCAGTGAATGGACTTCATGCTATGGTGGGTGATGATAGTGATGCTGGCGAGGGGGGGTTCACCAAAATGATTTATTAAACAATTATTCATCACATTGGGGGGGGGGTAACCCCTCTTTGCTTCGCAAAGCAAACTCAAGCTAGCCCTTACCAGGCTACCTTTCATGACAAAGAAACTGTGAGGAACCAGCTCCTGTAGATTTGATCTCCGATGTGTCGTAGTTTCACCCACTGGGTTCTTTGATCAAAGTCCATGGACATTTTTTTGCGTTTCTTGTTCAAGGTATGCAGTACAGTAGATGGCTTCACGGCAAACCCTCCCGACTGACCACCTCCACATCCAAGTCACCCTCAATGTACTGTTCGCGGTGAAGTTGTTGGTGTTCTGCTTGGTCTCCAAGAGAGGGGAGACATTCAGAGGAGACCCCGCACAGGTGAGGAAGCGGACGCCGTCCAAGCAAACGCGACCCCTCCTTGGAAGACGCCGTCTGTAGATCCATGGTAAGTTGAGTAAGCTGGTGCAATTTGGACAAGCTGACTACCTGACCCAGCATCGCTTTGCACGAACTGGCAACATTGCAAAACACCTGAAATCCAACATTTGGGGTGGTCCTTGGTCCTGTGTGTGTGTGTGTGTGTGTGTGTGTCGCAGTTTCAATTTTGGGTGTCCCGAAATTGCCTCATCGTGGCTGGCAGTGTCAGAGAATAGGTCTTCCTTTTGAAGCACAGGTCCAGCAAAGGGAAGGACACTATTAAAAGCGTTAGTTAGATACAATGCTCTTTGTGGTTGTGGGTGCCGAAAGAATTCACAAACATGGTAGCAATCTTAGTGGTGGCATGTGCTGACCACTTGACTACCATGTTCGCAAGGACCTTTTCACAAAACATGAATTGATCCTGACCATGATCCCATGATCCCAGCAAAAGTGGCACCACATTGGCACTTGATTGGTCACTCTGGCAGGTCCACGCCCCAAATCCACTCTTTCAGGCCAATCTCACGCCGCGACGCCATGCCCTCTATGGTGAGAAACATTTACAAGGGGGACATTCTGGTGAAGAAGTATGTGGCAAGCCAACCAGACAAAGAACTGAATGAACCTCTTCCAATCCAACCAGGCCAAGGCTCTTCTTCTGCTCCAACCTCCGCATGTGACCTTTCTTGTCGACGGAATGCACGTATCCACCCTGGACCAAGACACTGCCATCGGTCTGCACGGTGATGCCAATGGATTCCATCCCAACCTCACGTGTTGAAACCCGAGAGGTGCCACTGGATAGAACACAGCAATGAACAGCCAGGTGGCACTACGCATCTGGTGGTACTCTTACTTGCGAAAATATCTATACATCACACATGTCATGTCGACCCCCTATATCATAGGGCAAACTTCATATGCGTTTCAAGACATCAAAACAATGACGTCCCACTCAATGACTCAAGTGACCCAAACAGCCAAACAGAACAACAGTCCATCATATCATTGTGTTAGATTGAACCCCATCATCTCCACTCCTCACGAAAAATTCCTTCGCCAGTCGCACCAGCGCACCAGAATCATTGTGGAACTGATTCAAGTTTCACGAGCACTCACTCAAGTGGTGAACTTTGTGAACGTCAAAAGAACATTTTGAGATCGTAAAAACACCTGCAACATTCACAAGTGAAACTACAATAACAACTCACGACTGTTTCACCCAAAGAACGTAGTTAATTACTCAGAATGTCATGCAGCGATGCAGTCATAAAATACTGGGAGAGGCGTGTCTGATTCAACGCTGGCAAGGGCCGAGTGCCATCATACCCATATTATATATCAAGTTTCAAAAGTGCCAGTGGAACCCAGAACCCACTGGCATGGTGGAGGATCTTCACAATCTATTGATTTTGGCAGTTCAGCCATTGTTCCAAGGGCATGAACTCATCCGATTGTTCACCTGCTATCTGAACAAACACACACACACTTTGATATGGTTCATTCAGTAGTAAAGATAATCCACAAGGAAGAGAATGAGGCAACGGCAACACGGCGGAGTCAGCTCCCTTGAAATGTTGAACATTGGCTTCAGTGCAAACACGCGCGAGACCGGCCGCAAAACTGCTGCAAATCCGTTGGAAATGGTTTGGGAGAATAGCATGAAACAACCATTAAAGCAAGGAACGGCGCAGGAAAAGTGGTGTCTTGTTTGCAGGTACACAGTGGAGCGTCCCCACTGCATCAGCACCAGCTGATACCCTCTTCGTTGGACGGGTAGTATCAGTGGTGACCCGTCCCCTTGCACTCTTGAATGGCACACGCAAAAGGAACTCCTGGAAACGGAGGGGGACACACACACACTCTGACATTGGGTTTGCAGTTAACTCAGTTCCCAGGTGGAAAAGGGCGATGGAACGGAAAGGTGGCAGAGTCCGCGGAGAAGTCTTGTTGAACCAATGCTTCGCAAGCGCTCAAGGGAAAGCGGCGATCAGCGGCTGCAGAGCGGAGGGAAAACCTGTGCGGGAAGGTATCATGGACAACCACCATGAATCAAATCGAAAGTGGAAAAGCATGGTCAACAGTTGAAGGTGCAGGTACACAGGGATGATCAGTCCCTGCTTCCCCTTCTTGTCCACAGCTTCGTTGCGTGTGGTAGGACAAGGAGGCCACACGCCCCTGCTTGAAAAATTTCTGAGCGGTAGAAACTCTTAGATACAGAGTGGGACACACACACATGGCGCAGGAAAAGTGGTGTCTTGTTTGCAGGTACACAGTGGAGCGTCCCCCACTGCATCAGCACCAACTGATACCCTCTTCGTTGGACGGGTAGTATCAGTGGTGACCCATCCCCCTGCACTCTTGAATCGCACACGCAAAAGGAACTCCTGGAAACGGAGGGGGACACACTTCGAACTTGGGTTTTCAGTTAACGCAATTGTCTCAATG